ACCCTGGGAATCATGGTTTATTTCAGGGGAATCATCCCCAAATGGCCCAACTATGCAGGATAGTGAAATATTATGATTTACCCAGATAAATCATATAAACCCCAGCTATTTTAGGTAAACAGATGTAAACAAGAAAATAATGAAATACCAGCGCCATGGCATTAGTTGCTGGTTAGCAAGCGTGTGAAATAATCCATGACGTAGCCAGTTACTAACCAGTTGACTAATCCCACCCATTGAATCCCCTTGACAGAATGTCAACTAGCAGTGGATGAAGCAACATGACAATTGGTTGGGAGAGATGGTGACCGTATGCCCCCTTGGTCCTACCTTGACATAAAGATATCATAAGATATCTATAGAATGTCCGTACACGTCAATACAGTTGAGATAGAGATAGATAATCCACAACCCACAGTACAGGTTCTGGACCTGATTTATGAAAACAAATAATACAGTTGCTTGGTATTCAGCCCAACAGCACGTTAAGTAAACACATAGAGACAACACAAAGGGTAAGGGTTTTTGGATTTCCTGGGCCACCACGTGTTGACACCGAATTGGCGGTGTGGACATGTCTGAAATCATGGGTTCAAAGATGTCTTGCAACAGGGCCGCAGAAGTTTTGACCTGACGCTTCGATTACATGTAGTTTTACCAAGCGGAAAGAGTGCGAGCTTTTCCGAAATCCTCCAAAGTCGAGGACTTGAAGATTTTCACCAGGACCTCATTGGGGCAGGTCTTCTCAAAGCTTCTCACAGATGGCCGTGTCCTGGCCCCCCTGAAAAGCCTGCAAGCTGGACGGGTGCAGGATCTATTGAAAGGAGTCGGACGGGTTCAGGGGACGAAGTATGCCATCCGCTTCTGGTGGTAAGAGCTCTGGTGTGTAAGATCAACTGAGAGATGTTGAAACGATACAGGCGACCAAATTTGCATTTGCTGCACTCTTGGCCAATGGATCTGTTGTGACATGGGGCGATCCAGATTGGGGTGGGGACAGCTCACAGGTACAGGATCAGCTGAGAAATGTCAAACATCTTCAGGTGGCAGGTACTGTCTTTGCCACAATCTTGGCAGATGGATCACTTGTTATGTGAGGCAAAGGGCAGTTGGGCGACTATCAGTCAGTGCCAAGGAGCCGCACAGGAGTGAAGCAGTTTCAGGCCACAGATGGCGTGCATTTGCTGCGATCTTGGAAGATGGATCTGCAGTTGCATGGGGCAATCCATGTTCAGGTGATGACAGCTCTGCTATCCAAGATCAGTTGAGGAATGTACAGCAGCTTCAAGCGATGCTTGGGGCCTTCGCTGCAATCCTGGCTGATGGATCAGTTGTTACATGGGGAAGTGACTAATACGGGGGTGACAGTTCTGAAGTCGTCAGCTGCAGAATGACGTTCAAGCCACAGAGAGGGCACTCGCTGCAATAGCTGAGGGCTCCATAGGCGATCCCCCAAGGAGTTCTGGTGACATTTCTGAAGTCCTGGGTCAGCTGAATGTGCAGGAATTGCCCTCACAGATCGTGCCTTTGCTGCGATCCTGATCGACAGATCTGTCGTTAGGTGATCCTGCATTTGGTGGTGACTGTTCTAAAGTCCAAGGCTTGTTTGCTGGCTTGTAGCACCATTTTCGCAGCGTTTTGATTTGAATCATCCTTGTCATCCAATGGTGGAGAATCATGGAGAATAGGATTCACCGATAATGTTAGACTGTGAAAAAGATTGGCGGTGTGACGCCAGACTCTGAACCCCCGGACTTCGACGACAGGATTCCAAGTGGGAAACGTTCTCGCCGCAAAGGGGGGGCCCTCCAGGACGTTCCAGAAAGGATCCCAGCAAAGTCTTTCCCAAACTGGATGAGGCCAGGGTCGAATTTGGAGTCTGTACTCCTTACTTGGAGGATCATCCCACCTAGTCACCGGTTAGCAACTGAGACCCTATATGTCCAGTTAGAAATGGGATTCATCCAGTTAGGGGTCTTACTAACCATGATTACTAACCAGTTACTCAGTGGGATTATCCTCCAAGTAGTTGGGTTTGTGTGAACATTTAGGGGACAACTACCAAAATCCATTGTTAAATCATCATGTTCTCTTTAACATTATTTACAATTGCCATTTTGGTGGTATATAGACCCTTTCTAGACATAGCCATTTGGTTGATTGATTGCTATTTTGTTGGGGTCTAGACTATATGTGGTAATAGCCAAACCAAGCCAACTAGCATATTCAAGCTTGCAGACTAAGTTTGAAGCAAGTGCTGCTCAGATTTTGTTGGTTGCTTGGCCAATCATTTTGACCTGGGATGAAAAGCTTGATAGTTTACCCAACTTCACTGCTTGATGCGTCCTTTCAAAAAAATGAAACGATTCAAACTGTGTCTTACGGAGATTCCTGGTTTTCCCATCAGGGTGAAGGCTCGGTTTGAAATCATAAATTTATAAATCCAACCAAATTTAGCATTCCCACCCTCTCACTCGCATGTGCACAATGGGTAAAGACACGACATTACAAGACCATAATTGTTGTAATAATCCAGATAATTGTGCGTTAGTAAGACCCCATGAAGGGTTTCTTTGTTCAACATAAGACCAGGCAGTTGGTGAACATCAAAATAGCTGCTAAATGGATGTTCATCCCACTAAAAATGGTATTAATAGGTATTGATCCATACCCATATGTATACTGGGCCCTTATGATCGCCGTTTTTTTTTTCGTGACTCCCCTATCATCCCCTACCATCCCCTAGCCTTATGATCGCTGCAGGCCATCTCTGATTTGGACAAGCTCTTTGCCAAGATCGTCACTGCCTCAGCAGATTTCGGGCTGCCACAGGGCCATCCTCAGGCCTTCGGGTGATGCAAATGGTGGATAAACCGTGATGAATCATGATGAATCTATATTGGCCCACTTGTGGTGCCTTGATCCCGATATGTGATTTTGCCGAAGTCCAGATATGTTGACTGAAGTAATCTAAAGCTTCAATGTCCCATGTTTGTTGATTAAATCCCCATTAATCTTCAAATTGAGATCTGATGCTTCCTTCTCGGATCTGGCAAGCCGCACTCAGCATCAACGACGTCAGAAAAACTCAAGTTTGTTGTTCTCGTTTGCCTTCCACGAAAGACTGTTGACACGTTTTCTCGTAGATGCTTCACACGTGTTAAATTCAAAGATGCTTGGTGCATAGGCTCCCACAAATTGAGTTGCCATCAGTACGCCACCTGCCAGAGTTTTCCTGGAAAATCGACACGTAGTCACACGCAAAACAAATATCCAACAGAATAAAATGTTGTCCAAAGGTAACTACAGTAACTATAGGTGATCGACCCCTGACCAGTGCCAGCCTCAGCTGCCTCAGGCCAAAGACACTCCACAAGTTGTCGAAAAGGCCAGCCAGGGGCAACACTGCTACAGAACCCTGCCTGTCACTCAACCCCAATGCAAAGTAATGATAGTTTGTTTGGCCATACTTTGGGGGATGTTGGACAATTCGTTGGAGGAACATTTTGTCTGGAAAACCATGATTGCCGGTTGTTCGCTGATAGCTAGTTTTTTTCTCATGCTGCCTCCATTCTTCATGCTTGAATCTCATTCTGGGATCCATTCTTTGTCGGTCGAATCCCTTTCTTGTCGGCCCCTATAGTCAGTCCATCAAATCCACCACTTCATTCTAGTCTTCGTTCTATCCGGCTTTGCTGGTGTGAATTCTCAGGTCTTGTTGCTAGAATGCACATGCCTGTTGTTGAAGTCCCCCATTCCTATCCGAATATATATATATAATTAAGTATATATATATATATTATATCATTATAATATGTCCTCATTTGTTTCTTGATGGATTTCAAATATAACATTTTTGTTTTGGGTGTTTCTTCTCCCGTTTCGTGGGTGAAATCGTGAATTTCGTGATGCTTGAAATCCAGGTGTCAGGCGATGGCGGCGAGAGTTTGGCACGTGCACAGAAGGAGCTGATGGAGCATGGGGATCGCAAGGATCATTTGTTGATGTCCATCATAATTTAGCAGTATATTTACCGCCTGGTAAACTAACATATAGCTATACATAGGTAACAGTTTGCTATGGAAAAATCATCATCTTTAATAGGTAAATCAACTAGAAATGGGCCATGTTCAATAGATGTTCAATAGGGTATATATATATATCCTCCGACAATCATCAATAATCCGCAATATTTTTTGAATAATCATGACCACTTCCTAATTAAAGTTTTCACTTCCCGGCCATATCCTGCTTGTGGCTGCAAGCCACACCCTTGTTTCGAAGGCTTTGACATGTTTTGACCAGTTCTTTATAGGGGTGAAGCGCACTTGGAGCGCATGATTTCTGATTGCTCACAGGTTTGCTCAAAGGGGTAATCCTCCAAGCAGTTTGCCCCAGTGGAATAAACACGCTTCTAGGCACAATGTCCGAGCCTCAGTGCCTCAGTATGTTTAGGAGCCTTCAAATAGGCCAAATAGGTATATGAAAGTATATGAAAATTGCAAACCTGGAGTGCAAACCTGGAGGCCATGAGGTGAATATAAGTTGGATCAACTATCAAAATCTATCAAAAACTGAGTGCTATCATGTCTATTTGAAAGCTCCTGCAAATGATTCTTATAGTGTGGTTAGCAGGGAGAATCAGTTTTAAATTCGGATGAGTTTCCCATCATTATTCACACTAAGCCTGGCAATGGGAATTCCGTGCAACGTCATCGTGAAGGGGCATTTCTTTCATGTTCAGGCCGGATCCATGTTCGGGAATATATCATATCTTTATATAGGGAATGCTGAATCATGAGAATCATGAATGGTGTAGACCCTCTTGGTACCAAAAATGGGTAAACTTCCCAAATTTATAAGACAAAGTGACAATTTTAGTGGGTACAAACAGAGGGTCTGGATAGGGACCAAAGATTTCAATCCAATCGGGGTGGGGCAGCTTTTTGTGACGGGTGGAGCCGCATTTGTTCAAGTCTTGCCGTTCCCATGGGCTGCTCATGTGCATCGGGGACAGAGATCAGCATGTCAAGGGGCAATGCAAAGGCAAGACCGAAGGCTGGGCTTGCAGAACAGTTGAAACTAAAGTCAGTCTTACTGTGCGTTGGTGACGATTGATGGTTTGTACATCAGGTCTAATTTTGGGATAACCCATCTATATCATTTAATATATTAATGTGTCTTAGGCGTTCCAACATGTTGCAGTTTCCTGGCCGACAGCTGGTATGATGATCCCCCCGCAGCTTTCCTTTTCACCCCGGGGGAGAAGATGAATTGGAGCGTTTGACCATCCGCAGGACTGAGGGACAGGTTGGTGGCCCGTGTGGCCCGTGTGGCCTCAGCCTTCGCACATTTTCTTCAGGAGGTCATAAAACCAGACAAATGTTCGACATCGTCGACAGAGGCAGAATTTGAAGAAAAAAATTCTTTGACAGACGTAGAGCTTGGAGATAGATTCCAAGAATTTTGCGATCTCAGAATCAGTGAAGGTGCAGATTTTGATGAGGTGCTGCAGTGGCTGGTCGGTTGGCGTGTGCTGATTAAAAAGCGCTCTGGTTATGGGATCCATCGCTTCATGGTATCAGATCTGGATGGCAAGAAACCACCGCTGGATGTGCATTTCCTGTACCCCCTGCCGAAGTACAAGTTGAACCCCAGCATGGTTCAAGCCGTTGGCAAAGGCCAGGGGATCCCAATGAACAGAAAAGACCAGCAACATGCAATGCTCTTTGCAGAGGAAGTGGAAAAGATTCGGGAAGTCTGCCGGGAGAAGTTCGAAGTCAAGAAACCTTTGCCGTTGTACAAAAAGTCACCGAGGAGGCTGCACAAGATCAGAGTGCCAGCTTTCATCTCTGGGCAGAATGTCATGATAGGCAACAGCCTCTACGTGAGGTCTCGAGGGTATCCTCAGCATCGTGGTTTCATCCATGCGGTTTGCCCAAAGGACTCTGCAGTGATTGTTTCCTTTCATCCCACCTTCCACAACAAGCCGCCCTTCACCGTTAGCTTCGGCATCAACCGCATCCCCTTCCTAAGCAAGCACCGGGCCGTGGACTTGGCGGAGAGAATCATGGCCCAACTGGAGAGCACTAAGCGAATGATCCAGCCACCAGCAGCGGCAGGGTGTGATACACACCTGAACGTCCAGCAAAAGCAGTTCCTGGATGCAAGCTTGCTGCCCTTGCTGATGTGGGGACCTCCTCCCTTCGAAACCTTGCTGCCCTTGCTCCTGTGGGGACCTCCAGGAACGGGCAAGACGACCACTCTGGTCCGCACCATTTGGACCATCATCACCAAGAACCCGACGGCAAAGGTTCTGGTCAGCGCGCCTTCAAATGCAGCTGCCAATTTGCTGTGCGAGCGCTTGAGTGAGTTGGGCATACAGCCAGACAGGTGTCTGGTCGCAAAGGAATCAGGTCCTGTTATGGGGTTGCAGCCCATAGATTCACCAGAATGCTAATTAACATAATATAATATAATCCTTTCCTGGGGGCCTGTGGTTGCGTCAGGAAGTTGGTAGTTTAGATGCTTTTCTACTCCAGCTTCTAAGGCAACGGCAGGCCAGCTTCTCCATACACACAAATAAGTTCAAATTGTACCGACCTTTAGAATGAATTGTTCAACAATGACAAGTATTCCCTATACTGCTTCAATTGCATTTCGTGGATTTGTTTTGTTTGCATGTTCCCGTTTTCCTGCATCCTTCGCCAGGATGTTGCGCTTGATGGGCATGTCACGGGAAGTTGCATCAGTTCCAATGGCAGTGCAACGCTTCACGTGCAAGGACGCCCTGGGAAACTTTGCTCTTCCCGACTTGGAGGCCTTGCAAAAGTATCAGGCGCGAAGATAGAAAAGACCATGAAAAGACGAAGTGGTTCTCCAAGGGACTGTAATTGGAAAGGCAATGGCGAGTTGTTTTTAGATTATGATTTGTTGAACATGTTTGTCCATTTTGTTTGCTCTATATCTTAGGGTGGCTTTTGGGGGATTGGGGGATACTTCTTGGGGGCTTTCTTTTTGTTATTCCACTCCAGCGAAAACCTTGAAGTATCCACAAAATCCCCATTACATCCTTACCAATAGGGCTAGACCACCAGTTGTGAATACCATCAGTTTGATGGTGTAGCTACCAAAAGACTTGCTGCTGCTGGTGTGCTTGGAAAAAATGGTGGGTTTGTGGCACAGTGTGATGACGTGTAGGAATATGTGGACTTCAATTCAATAGGCAATTTCTGAATTGATAGTCAGTTTGAAGTTTTTTGAAAAAGTAATGCCGGCAAAAACTGGGCTGAGTTCTGTTTATGTAAGCACTGTTCAATGGAAAATGCAAAGTGGTGCTCTGGCAGCCTTTCCCATTTTGGGTATTGTGTGTTTTTGTTTTTTGTTTTTTGTGTGTGTGTGTTTTGTGTGATCCTTGTGGGTTTGCGTGATTTTATTTAATGGTGTTTGATTCTGGTTGGCTTATAGGGTCTGTTCCTGGTTCGCCAATTCTGGGATTTTTAATGGGATTGTGTGGGATTTGTGTGTTGTTTTTTGGGAATGTGAGGGATTGCTATGGTGTTTGCTTCTAGTTGGCCCCAAACAACAAGATGGGATTGCCATGATTTCTGAATTATTTTTTCTGATTCTTTTTTTTTTAAATTCATTCTGGTAGATTTTTTTTCAATGGGCTTTGCTGCCATTTTGTGTCTTGATGGATTGGTTGGTTTTAGGACTACTTCGGTGTGTAGGTAATTTGTTGAGCTTGGGATTTGCTGTGGAAATCTCAGGATTTCATGGGAAATCTCTTGTATTTTCAAGGACTCTCCAGGTATTTACTGGGAAATTTCAGGAATTTAGGGTGAAACCAAGGGGCTCCCTATGACGATACAGAGATATTGCTTGCGGTTTTTGCTGCTCTGTGTGTTCCGGTTGTAGTGGTGGGGGAAATTTGATGCCAGTGCAATTGTCATTCTTGAGAATGTGACTGCTTTGGAGTCCTTGTGTGCTCTTTTGTTGTTCATTGTGTTGTTTGTTTCAGGTGATAGTTTGCACGTGCACCACTGCATCATATCTTCGTAGCAGTGTGCCGAAGGACTGTCGGAGCAGTAGACCATCCGTCCCGCAACCTGATGAACTCACACTGGGAAAAGTTAAAAGCCCAAAGGTGTAGATTCTCATCGTTAATTGCCTTAAAGTTTCGTGGAATATTGTGGCACATTATCCATTATTATTATTATTATTTATTATTATTGTTATTGTTATTATTTTATTGTTGTTATTATTATTAATTATTGTTATTATTACTATACTATTATTACTTATTTATTGTTATTATTATTATTACCATCATCATCATCATTATTATTGCTACTATTATTATTATTATTACTATTGTTATTATTGTTTATTATTATTATTGTTATTATCTTTTTCCGGTGAGATCCGGTGCAGCTTCAACACCAGGTTCCAGACAAGGTTCCGGAGGGTTCTGGTGCAGATACCTCGTGAGGTTCCGGAGGGTTCCGGTGCAGATACCTCGTGCGGTTCCGGAGGGTTCCGGTGAAGATACCTGCTGAGGGTTCTGTGCGGTTCCGGAAGGTTCCTTGTGAGGTTCCGGAGGGTTCCGGAGGGTTCCGGTGCAGATACCTTGTGAGGTTCCGGAAGTTTCCGGTGCAGGTACTTGGTGAGTTTCCGGAGGGTTACGGTGCAGAGACCTTGTGAGGTTCCGGAGGGTTTTGGCGGAGAGGTTCCGGAGGGTTCCGGTGCAGATACCTGGTGAGGTTCCGGAGGGTTCTGGTGCAGATGCCTTGTGAAATTCCAAAGGGTTCTGATGTTTTTTTTATGGCACAAACACTTAATTTTAATGGCCTAAGCGCTTTTTTTATGGCATAAGCACTTATTGTTATGGCAAAAACGCAGAAGCTTTCAAGCTGTTGGGGATAGCACCTGAGTGTATGTGTTGTTTGTTATTGTATGTTGTTATTACTATTGTTAGTTTTATGATATGTTCTAATTGTTTTAAACACTAATATATATAATATGTCCGCAAAATACACATATAATCACGTATATGATATCCTAGTTCACCTAGCCTCATGAAACAACGTGCCTATCCTACTGCTGCAGGAGAAGCCTGGATGGTTTTCCCATGTCTTTGTGGACGAGGCAGCTCAAAGCATGGAACCCGAGACATTGATCCCCTTGACTGTGGCAAAAGCACAGGCGAGTCGTGGAGTCAAAGGATGTTAGTTAAAGGCTTGCTGAGCGATGATCGGCCCATTATAACCATCTATAATGCAATGTGAGGCCCCCAAGATATCTAAGTTGGTTTATAACTCCAATAACTTTGGTTTATGGTACTTATAACTATAGTTACTGGGGCTTATAAACCATTTTATGACTGGGGGGCCTCACATTGTATTAATGAGGAATAATGAGGATAACATATATGATAACTATATGATATGAACATGCAGAACCAGCCCGGCAAGCTAAGTCCTTTATCCAATGCAAATTGACAAAAGCGAGCCCTGGATGCTGTGGATAGTGTTGTTTTCGAGAATGCCTAGATGATGACAGATTTTGATTTTTGCTGTTTCCCGACAAAATTCATTTCCAGTGTCCAGGTTCTAAAGATTGCATGTTTGTCACTGAAACAAGCCTCCATGGATGTGCTGCCCTCCTCCCTGAGGCATTGGTGTGTTTGGCGGGTGACGTCAAGCAGCTGGGTCCCCTTGTCAAATCCAAGCTGGCCACGGACCATGGATTCCAAGTGTCTTTGATGGAGAGGCTCTTCACGAGACTGACGAAAGATACGAAAGAACATTCACGTGTTTTCGTCCTTACGGACACCTACAGAAGTCATCCATCCATCTTGAAGCTTGGATTTTCAATATGCTTTGTTTAATGCAGTTCGCAGTGGTGAATCCATCATTTGAGCAATTTGGGAATCTGTGTTGTTGCTTCTGTTCATTGCCTTTTCAGCAAATCCAAGGAAACTTTATAACCCGATTTATGATGGACAACTGCAGTGTTGCAGCCCAAAAAGCAGCCGTGACATGGTCCCATTGATGCGACACATGATGGGTGGGGCCAGCGGCCATCCTTTGATTTTCCACCACTGCGATGGAAAGGAGTCCCAAAACGAAGATTCGACGTCTTGGCAAAACATCAAGGAAGGTGAAGTGGTGATGAATTACCTGAGGAAGTTGTTGGAGTTGCTCAGTTGATGAAATTCATTCTGAAATTCCTTTTGTCCAAGCAACAAGGAATGCAGGTTCAATCTCATGCAATCAATTCACTTTTGGACACTTTTGGTACATGTTGAAAAGCGGCGTCCATGTTTTGGAGCCAAGGACCGTGGCCATAGGTCCCAAATTGCATGTTTTGCAAGAACAAAAACAGGGTTCATGATGGGAGGAGATCATTTATGCACAACAACGAGCCCTACATTGAGTATGTTTGCTGGTACCCCGCCGGTGGGACACCTTGGTACATTGAGTCAGCTGGATCATTGGGCACATAAATGGTTATAACATGTGAAAACATGTGAAAACTATGTTGCATACATAACTATCAGCACAGGAATCATGAAAAGTGCCTTCAGTTGTTGTTTGATTGGTGGCAATCACACACATACATCCGAGGCTTAAAATCCCAGCTGAAGATATTGGTGTGATCACCCCGTACCAACTGCAGTGCGAGCGGTTGAAGAACTTGTGTCAAGCCGTGGGGATAAAGGCGAAGATTGGCACAACAGAACTTTTTCAAGGCGATGAGAAGAGGATCATTTTGATATCCACAGTGCGTTCTCAACAGGAGCGATTTGGGGGCGTCAAGAAATCGGGGATTCCCGTGGCTCTATATGCCTCAAAACCAGATTAGTAATGTGTAGAAAATATGGGACACTATCATTGTGTTAATATAACATTGACACTCCCATGGAATTTTGTTCTTTATCGTTTGAGACTGGGGGAGTCTTGATTGACAATTGATTCCCCAAAATTTGTTTTGATTTTTGGGTCTTCGCTAGCTGATGCTTATGTAGAATCCTGGATGGTGATGGGAGTTTTAACATGTCATCAACATTTTGTCATGTCTATGTTTCCTTTTGCAGGTATTCACTATAGGATTCTTTGACGCACATCAATGTCAAATTCTGTTTTTGAGCATGTATCATTGACTCATTGGTGTGTGCCTTTTATGCCTCATCTTCCCAGGGTTCCCTTGGTTTCCTGACCAACTACAAGCGCACCAACGTTGCCTTGAGCCGAGCCAAGTCCCTCCTGCTGGTGGTGGGGAACATGAAGCTACTGTCGACGGACCAAACCTGGTCCAATGCGATCGGGTTCGCGAAGAACATGGGGGCCATGACGGGTGACATCGGGTCTGGATGAATTATGCTGTGACCTCACTGATCCTCACTGTCTATCGTCACTGGAATGGTGGAAACAATGGGGAATCACTCCGTTTTCTCTTCAAGAAGCGTGGATGGACAAGTTGATCATGTTGCACTCCCAACGCACCAAGTGGTTCCATTTTCCGGACATTGATCGAGATGCGTCCCTCAGTGTTTTGCGTAAGTTTCAGGATTCCAAGCGGTGGCTTCTTGTCAGAGAAATTGCAGGTGCATATCAAACTGCCAACCAGAAGCAAAAGTGGTTAGATAATGCGGCCGGGACGTGTGAGTTCTGCCAGAAAGAAGATTCCCGGCGGCATCGCCTGCTTGAGTGTCCGATTGGCAGTGAAGTGCGTGAAAGTTTTTCTGCTGTTATAGACGACATTTTGGAAGATGAGTCGTTACTGCCAGATTTTCCTGTCATTACTCGACACCCAGATCTTGAAGCTTTGCAGTTAATGCAGTTTGCATCTCCGCAGCCTGTGTGGGGACAAGCCATTTGCACACATGCCAGAAACATGGTTGATGAAGGTATCACCTTGCACTGGTTCACGGACGGTTCATGTTTGCATCCGACATGTAGGCACACACGACATTCTGCTTTTGCTGTAGTTCTAGATCTCTGTAAGACTGATGATGAACGTAGAGCCATTTCTGAGCAGTACAGAGGATCCACTTTGTCCATCCCTACATTTCAGGTAGTTTGTACTGCGCGTTGTCAAGGTGAACAAGATATACTTCGTGCAGAAGTGTCAGCCGTTGTCTCGGTGGCTGAAAATGTAGGTCATGGAGTAATTCATGTTGACAGTCAGGTGGCCATCTCAAATGTTCAACTTGCGTTGACATCACTGCATCCTGCTGCCTTTGCGGGATGCGAACATGTTGACTTGTTGCTTCGCTTGTGGAAGATCAGACATGGGGTTCATATACAGCTTGTTAAGATCAAGTCCCACCAAGATCCTGGCTTGATTGATGACCCCCTTTTGAGATACTGGGCTTTAGGCAATAATCATGTTGATGCTGTTGCGCAAGTTGCTTGTTCTTCACTGAATACGGCATTGGTACAGCAGCTTGACTTGGTTAGGCAGGATTTGAAGGTCGACAAGAAGAGGCTTGAAGCTGTTTATGACCTGCATATTCTTTTACAAGAGGTGCGTAGACTAGCGACTGCAAACAAAGAATCTGAAATTTCTACGAAGCTGCATGACCATAGGGCGTTGTGCGCGGCTTTCAGTAACTGGACGGTTCAACCTGGTGTCTTTCAGCTTCAGGAACCTGATTTGCGATTGCTTGGCAGCTCTGCCTTTGGGGAAGAATTTGCGAGACGCACTGTTGAGTGGAGTAGGCATTTGATTTGGCCAGACGATGCTTCTGGTCCACTTGGATGCAACACTGGCATCACTTGGGTGGAATTGGCACTATCCTGGATGCTTTTTAATCAACTTTTCCTTCCTGTTCTGCGTAAAGATTGCCTGGGTATTAACAGATTGTGTTTCCCTGGAGGATATGATGGTGCTAAGCAATACGGCCTCAGTTTTCTGGAGAGTGGCACCATGGTGCAGAAGCTGCTCACCAATACTGCAGGATTGGTACCTCAGGAAATCATGCCTTCTGGATTGACTCATGGTAAGTGTAGTGCGTTGTACAGGCTGGGTAGTTGCAGGTTTTATCAGGGTCTGGACCGACGTCCTCAGATCCCTTTCCAAGCTGAGGTTGTGCAGTTGCTAGCTGCTGTGGTAGGTACTGGTAGAAAGGAGGCGTTGTCTGACACGCCGAATTTAGCATTCCCTGCCAAGCAGGACCAAGTGGCACGTGGCACTTGGCAGTTTCGACTCCAAACGTCGTCCTTGGCCATGAAGACCGCCAGGAAACGGCGCAAGGAGATAATTAACTTGTGACTTGGATCTGCGTCCGCTATAGTGTGCTGCTTTAGCCTTTGGGCAGGGGCAGTGCACTCCTTTCTACAAGTAAATAGCTGTTTTCAGGCTAGTGAATTCTACTTCAGCCAGATCCGGTGACGTTGTCGAGCCACTGTGAGCACCGCAGGGGGCAGCCAGCCGAAGCCAAAGGGTGACTGGTCTTCTTAGGTTTTAAGGCTGCAGTAATATGGATATGGGTCAGCAAGGGGCTACCAACAAACGAAATGCTACTCATTCTTAGCCGAAGCCATTCATTTTGGGGTTGGCAATTTTGACCCATACCCATGGAGCGGTGAAGTGGCATCGGCACTAGCTTCCTCTCTGGAGGATGAAATAGCTGCGGAATGGAGAGGCCGCAAGAAACAATCAAGCCTTATCCGCTATCCTTTTCATGTCGTCGCTCTGGATGTTCTTGGCTCTGTTTGCGGGTGCCATAATGGGAAGTACGCATGACTCAAAGTGGTTTCTCAAGGGTGTGTGCACCCAAAGTTAGATGGTTCAGCTAATTGGAAAGATTGCCAAAGCTATGGGTACATTCCTTTTGCATTTCAGTGTTTCAGAGGTACGTGTGCGTCAGACCCTGCCAGGAAATTCAGCAGTTGAAGCAAGAGTAAAGCCCTCAGACCGGATTGCTTGGGGATATTCCCCTAGCCCAGCAGCTGGAGATAGATGAAGGGTGCAAGTGGAATTGCAGTAGTTAAATAGTGAGTCAGTTTGGTCATTTTTGCATCGAGCAAGATGGAGCATCGGCTGACTATATAGCTTTCTGTACTTGTATATGTTTTTTTTTTTGTTTTCGAAGCTTTAATGTAAGAGCTCTTGAAGAAAGACACCATATCAATGTGCCAGGATGGCCCGAGATGTTGGACACTAATTATGGCTTTTATTATCCCCTGAATCCGGGAAGCATGGTGGTTGGAAAGAAACGAAACATTCATTGCGCTATCTTGTGAACCAATCTCTACATTTCAAAACTATGGAAATCAGTTGGCCGCATATTTATTGGGACCCAAACAAGGTACCAATTTAGATGGTCGACGTGGCCTTGTTGGGCACCTAGTTTCTAAGGATTGCTGCTCTGAAGTCCAAGCTGGCTGCTGCTGAACAGATTCTTGGCTTCGATCTCTGATCCCTTAAATAGCATGCAAAACATGTGGTGCTACCTTGGTACCTCGGCGCATCCTCATTGTATAATTCCAATAAAGGAATATTAAGTTGCATAAGTTTAATGTTTTCGCGGCACAGGGTGTTATTTTACAGCACAGCATGTTATTAATAATGTTATTACTAAAGAAGTTAGCTGGTGTTATATGTGGATGGTGAATGATGTGGCTTATCCATAGAATGGGAATTTGCATCAATGAAATTTTGAAAAGAACAAGTGCAGAGTCTCGTTCAGTAGCATGTTCAGTCTGTTTTTCTTTTGGCGAGAAAGCATTTGATAAACACTAGTAACCTGAATGACATGTTGATTATATTTTCTCAACCGGATCATTTAATCATCCCAAGATGCTACTCCTGGAAGATGAGAGGAACATACCCCCATGAGTATCCCACTTCAAAAGACAACACTGATATGCACTGGTCTGCATGCATGTGTTTTTTCTTTAAATGGTGCTTTCAAGTCTCACAGCAATCCATAGAGGTATTTCTGTAGTTTCCAAAAACCGGGCAGTTGGGAGGTCACATTTATGTCGGAGGTGGCATTCCAAGAAAAAAACAACTGGTAATTTGTAGACCCTGAACCATGGTTTTACACGTTATTCACCTCCATTTGTCATCGAATGCACTTGAAAGGTGCAGATCCAATAATCACTATGTGGAATGAGGTTGATGATGTTGCTGTTGTCGATGACGATGATGATTTGATGGTATGATGATTTCATGATTTGATGATGCTGATCAAGTCCAATCTGTTGGACATTAAACATCAGTAAACCATATTAAACCCTTGCTGAGCCCAAACCTCAGTTCAAGTCGTGTTCCTCTGAGAAGTGTCAGATTCGGAAGTTTGTGGGGCCTCAAGGTAGAAGCAGCACAGGGGAAATTAAACTTGCATTTTGTGGTTACGTCCATATCCATGGGCATAATTACATAGGTATGCCATTGGGTACAGGATCAATGGTGGAGTGAGCATTGGGTTGAGTTAATCTAAAGTGGGAGAGCCAATGCCATCCTTATCATTCGGGGATGGGTTTTTGAATGAATTTGGTATCAATCATTTATGGTACTACTGGGGATGGTTGATGGCATTGGGCCATTGGGTTTACCACTTAGTTATTGCCCCATTGATATCCCCATGAAAATTACGCCCAATTGTTGCTGATGCATTTATGCTGGCAAGGTCCGAAAATCTCCCTCACCCTGCGAGGTTTCTAGCTGAAACAATCATGGAAGTGAATAGTGGATTTTCCAGCCATGTTGGTGATGGAATCTCATTACCCGTAGGATCCATGTATGGTATATATGCTAACATTGGGGGTATATTGATGGTAAATGTTACCATATATAGCAGCACCATGGATCCTATGGGTTATGTAAATCCCCACTATGTAAAGGACCATGACATGCCCATTTTTCATCATCAATCCCGTTGAATCTCATGAAATCCCACCGTTCAGGAGCTTGTCCATTTTTACCGAGGCGAGAGCAAGATGCACTTGCAAAGTTGAAGGCCTTAAGACGTGGACATTTTCGGGTTCAGGGTGAAGTTGTGAATCCATGGAAATCAAAAAACAAATATCATATTTGGTTATTTAATGTGTTTCCATGGACAATCAGCATTTTAAGTTCAGTAAAACATCATGAACCATCTGTAAAATGGACAATTGTCCAAAGTCATTTTAAATCACCAGAGGGTACTCTTCAGGGAATACGTATACTGAAGATGAATCGGAACTAGAGATTTTAGACCTCGGTTTTTCTAACACAACCATTGAAAATGGATATCGCCCACATTTTTCATAAGTATGTTTTGATTACCTCATGGTAAAACTGGAGATTGATTTTTGTGTTTCTAAATATAGTGATGAACATGTCAAATGTAGAAGTCCTCCTGTAACATCTTGTAAGCCGGTGTTGCGTGGCTTGCTTGTGTTGGTTTCAATCAGCAGACCATACAAAAGGCACAATATACCCCCAAATGGAAAATTTGTAGCTGATAAATCAGTCTGGATCCATGTTCGTTTTTTGGTATCTTTTACTATTCGGTAATAGTGGCAACGATTCATGGACTCAACCATGACCCTCTGATTGTAGTAATCAAACATGGTTTGCTGCACAAAATCCACCGTATTTATAGTATTTTATATAGTTGATTTTCCATGAATTTCCCATTACATATGGCAATGCAAAAATCCACCATCAAACATGGTTGATTTTCCCATTAAAACCTCCATCTTTTTGCAAATTCCATGTTTGATTTCGCGGGGTAAAACCTCACCTGAGGATGCACAAAAGAAGCCACCGCCTGCAGAAAAGGCCAAGGTGCAATACCTGCCGCAGTTTGGGGGGTGTGCAGTTGTCGTTATAAATATAAACTATGGTCATAAAGCCCTAGAAGTTGAGATATAACCCCTATCACCATGAATTTTATATCCAACCGCGCTTCCGAGTAGAAACCTTCATGGAACGTATTGGATCTATTCATTTTGGGCTCCCGTCGGGGAAATCGATGAATTTTATAGATATATATATATATATTTCATCCACAATAGTGGTGGTTAATAGTGGTTAGTAGTGGTTGGTAATGGTTGGTAATGGTTGATGGATAATGTTTAATGATAAAAACAATCTGGTTGGTGGTGACTGGAACATGGCTTTTTATTTTTCCATTTCATATATGGAACGTCATCCTTCCCATTGACTATTTTTCAAGATGGTTGAAACCACCAAGCAGAATACCTTTGAATATGTTTTTTTGGATGAAGATGAACATTCATGTAGCAGTGCTATGTTTTGATGTTCAACCGCTGTCTGAAACAACCTTACATTGACCTGTCCTGTGTCCATACACCCAGTGGGTTGAAACGATATGGATGTTTGAAGCCCTATCGCTGGCATTAGAGTTTGGTCCAGCAAATCACAGATTTCATTGATTTTCGAGGGCAAATTGGGAACATGTATACAGGAAATCCATGTTGTGTTTTATGGTGAAAAAAACATAGTCTCTAAAACACAATTTTCCCCTTCATCAATCATCCCCTTACCCCCTGGTATTCAAAGATTGTTTGATTGAAACTCAATCATTTAGTTGGATGTGTTTTCGCAACTAGAAACCATAGCTTCAGGGCTAGTTCAGGGATTTCCCAGCCATGTGTGATTATTGTTATCCCGTTGTATTCCCCTAAAATGACCATCAAATACAACGGGAATATAAACTTACCATATACTTACCATAAACATAAACTTTAATATACTACATGATTATGCTTTGTTATCCCGTTATTGTTGATAAACTTACCATTTTCCAGCCCATCTTTGACCTGGAGGGTTTTTACTCTCAGCCCCGCCTCGCAGATGCCTGAGAGTCCAAGCAACACAGGCGGGTAACCTGTGGCAATGGGACCCCCTCAGCACTGGACTGGAAATACCTCCCTGAGTTTCTGTTTGATGTTTGGAACAATTTGCTCTTGAGTGAGGAACCAATTTTGCAATTTGGAACAAACCGAAGTGGCACCACAACTAAATTTGAGCACCAAGAATGTGGACATACGCAACAAACATGAAGAGGAAATCGCGAGACAACCATAAAGAAAAAGCACGCGGTATGTTACGGTATGCATCCAAAAAATATAGTGGGTTTCCCAAACAGATTGACACGAAATAGGGATATACTAGATAAATCATGATGAATCTAGACTCTAGATTTAGATAATTATAGGGTGTTTCCATATTGTTCCCATTTCTTCCCCAATTTCATGATGTTCTCTGATAGCATCCCAGAGTGACCGTGACTCCATCTCCCAGTTCATCCCAGCTATGGGGAGTTCGTTCAGGCGAATTTCCCACTGGTCGATGATTGATTTGCTGATGACAACACCAAATTTTATATCACAGCCAATATGTATATAATATATAATAGGTGATGGAATGGTGAGACATGGTACCAAACCAGCCCCAACCCCCATGTCTTCTTTCCCAAACATCTTTGGTTTGCTTTCATACCAGGTATCATGAGTGACAATGTGGATGAGCTGAAGCAGCAGCTGGAGAGAAAGATCGCTAGGTCCGGCAACGCAGATCTCTGCGGTTCTCGTGGTGAGGGAGCCAGTAACATTGCAGAGGATACCTAACGAATAAAGAATACAGGGACTGAATCAACCAACATTCTGTTGATTTGGTAAATTAAATGAAGGGAGTGTAATCAACAGCCCGTGGTAACTTTCCCGACAGCCAGAAGGGCATAACTAAGATAACCAACAAAAATGGTGGAGTTGATCAGCAAAACATATTCGGAATTGCAGGGAGGAATCAAACCAAGTGTATGAGCCCTCGACTTCCATGATGAATGGGGCCCTGCAGCTGCGGGAATTACTCACTTCTGCTACGAACACAATCCTCTGTTGGTGTATGACTCTAGAGCCCCCAAGTTTGAACAAATCCTTTTGCAGAGCAAAAAGAAACAGCAGGAAGATCAGGTTTCTCGGGTTGCTGAGATTTGTCGCAAACTCGATGAGGCATTGCGTCATTGATCTGCCTTCTGTCGTTGAAACAAATCTGACACTTTAGATATCGAATCATGCCTACTTACATAACACTAATTATTCCTCCCATTTCAGTTGGACACGGAACTCTGATTTGCTCCTTCAATGACGTTTTAATCGTCAATCATTTCAGGAAGGGAGGAATGAACCGGGCCAACTTTCAGGAAGGGGTGTGGATGGGATCATGACATCGCTTGCGTCATAGAGCGGCGGTCTTGGGTTGAACTCAAGGGGGTTCCCGTTGAGACTGGTTTACCAACTTTAGGTTTCCACCAACACAAAAATTAAGTAGGTTACGTAGGTTGAGAATGTATGAGTCTAAAGTTGAGAATGTATCAGTCCAAGATACGTAGTCTATTCAGCTCAAGACATCGACCGTTGCAGGGGTTTTACCTGCCTGGCACCTGCTGAGGGTGGCAGAGTTAGAAGGTGAACTGGCTCAGGCGGGCACATCCTGATGGATGAGACCATTACTTGCAGGAGCAAAATGCTGGAATGAATAATATGAAGGTTTCCGGAAATAGAGGTACTCCGATTCATCCAAAATTAAACTATAATTTCAAGTTATTATGGTTGTCTTGAAACCAATCCACCCTATTGGGAAACCTGCATATGTATATTTTAATATTATATATATATAAATATGGATATGGGGTGGTTATATTTCTATTTTTCATCTGCAAAATTGAAACCATTATAATGCCATTATCCATTTGACATGATCATGATCTTGAGGGGCTAGTATTATGTTTGTTGGTAGTATGTACAAGACAGTAACAACACTTCAATATAATATCACGCTGTATCACGTTGTATCACGTTGTTTGATCAGGTTTATGAACAATTACGCTTCCAGACAAAACAGTTTCATATAAAAATCTTTCTGGCAGGGGTCAATCTCCCAAGCGGGGTTGGGGTCAGGATCTAGGAGGCATCGATTGACTTCTGGCTATGTCTGGGGTGTGCCCATGACCATTGGGGATTGCCCATTGCCACTTTGGAGCAGCGGGTATACTCTGAGGCTTATCCTGCCCTGTTTTGTTCATTCACATTCAATCTTCAAGTTTGTTGCTCAGTATCACCACATTCTTAGGTTCACTGATGTGCTAAGCCACCTTTTTTTGGTGAAAAGACAAATACATTTGCTGCCTAATATTCCGATTGTTGAGTTGCTGAAATCCTCCCCAGTTTTCAAAGCAGCCAATCTTTCCTGGTTGGTGGTTTCAAACATGAATTTTATTGTCCATTTCATATCTGGGATGTCATCCTTCCCAGCTGACGAACTCATATTTTTCAAGATGGTTCTTGCACCAAGCAGATATAGTTGATATAATATGATAATCACAGGTGAAATTATAATATTGCCATAATATCATATTTTTCACTATATTATTATATGATGGTAATATATTAATATAGTTTTCACCAACCATATATAAGGGCCATTTATCGTGAAATCAGCCAATCTTTCCCTCAAGGCCAAGAAAGACTTGCGGGCGGCTCAGCGGACCATCGACGAGAAGGACCATCGGATCCGGATGCGGACCATCGACGCCTCTTGCGGTTGATTTGGGGACACCGGGGATCGCCCCTACTCAACAATAGGACTAGTACAGAGAACACATTTCTTTGGTGTACACTAACAGTTTGCTTTTGAAAATGGTGGTTTATAGTGGATTTTTCACTTGAAATGGTGGTTGGTGAATGATTAGCTGGTTGGTGGTTTGGAACATGGCTTTTATTGTTCCATTCAGTTGGGAACAATAATCCCAACTGACGAACTCCATCATTTTTTCAGAGGGGTAGGCTCAACCACCAACCAGTATTTTTTTTTATTGTGTACTGAATTATTACTATTATTATCATACCTCTCTATGTATATATATATAGGTATAGGTCAATGATGGTGAAGGATTTGCCAAGCTGACCCCTGCTTCTTTGATTTGACCATAAAAAGTACAGTATTTGAAAACAGGGATGGTGTCAGCAAAAAACTTGATATTTTGTCAACAATAGATGGAGATGTTGAGTTATCAATGATTTGTCTATGTATCACCAAAAATTGATGAACACTTTCTCCATCATCATCCGCCAAGATCAATTCACTGAGATGATTGGGAATTCATCAACAGTACATTGGGATAACAACAGTTTCACACCAAAATTTTGGGTTCATCAGCACGGCTTGGCATCTTGGATCATTAACAAACTGATTCGTTTGGGAATGGTATAATGTATTTCCAGTTGTAGACAGTTCAGTTATCAGATGTTAGGAAAATCAACGGCTTGCTTTGGTTCCCCTCTGGGAATCAAACGTCGCGGGAAAATCCGCGAATCCATGATTGAGTGCGATGACTTTCCCGTTCAATTCATCATTTAGTTCAGAAATTCCCAGCCACGTTTGATCGCTGGAGGACCGGAGGGTAGACCCATAATATAATCGTCATTAATTATTCCATACAAACAACCAGCCAAACAATCCCATGTTTCATTTCTATCTCCATTTTTGCTGGTTAAATCCCCTGAATTCCCAATTTTTCGTAGTAAAATCCCCATCAACAAAGTGAAGATTCATGAAGCTTCGCCGAAATCTGTCGAGGACTTGCTGCTGCAAGAGCGCGCACGGAAGGATGCGGACAAAGCCAAGCATAGTCAGGGCCCTGAGGGGCCCCATTTGGATGTATCGGAGCGACCAATGGCCCAATGGCTTAATTAGATGGTCCATCTGGATCCATGATGAATTTCTGACCACTTGGGAAGTTTCCTGGAAGTTTCTTGAAATTCTGGGCGACACAAAAAAAGTTTGATTAGTTGATGTGGGATATGCGGGTTTCGGAAAATGTGATTGCCCATTTTGACTGCGATGATCCCACCAGTTACCAGTTTTGAGAGGTCTGAACCCATCAGATTGTGGACAACAAGCAGAGTCATTCGGGGCTTAGCAATTCTAGGTTCAGTTGACCTGTAACATCCCGTAACTCAAATGGCATTTCTATGCATTTCTTGAAGTTGCTGAGCCTGGTGTGTTTGAACATGTTGGTCGGAAAAACAAGACCCAACAGAAGTGCGTTTGGCAAAGATCCTGTGCAACGCTCTGGACAGACTCTTCCATCACTTGTTGGTTACGTCAATTTTGTGTAATGGATAGAAATAGATGTTCTAAGTTCTTAAATCTAAAAGCATGCATATCAACTATAGCTAACAATATAATACAAATGAGCTTCTATTAATAAATATATGTATATATACTATATAAATGTATAATTATATGTATTACTCTTAAATGTTTGAACTACTATTTATGTATATGCCATTGTCATTCGAAGTCCACGCAACAGAATCCGGATCTTTGACCCACCTTTTTTCATCGTATCGCCAACCTGCTCAGTGTCGGAGTTGATGGAGAAGCTCCGCAAGTCCGAAGAAGAGGTCCGTTCGGCGAGGATGGGCTGTGGTGATGTGGCACCATGAAAATCGTGGGAGATTTTAACCAAGCAAAAATATGGAACAATGAGATTCAACCATTCAAAGTGGGTTGAAGTTCAACTTGGGACGGGATGGGAGTTCCACGTTCTTTTTGGTTGAAACATCACTTTTTGGGTGGACTAAATCATTAGTGGTTCACCTTGGCAGAGGGATCCAAGAGTATCCAGAAGTTTTTTAAGTGAATTTAAGTGGCATATTCAAGCCATGAATCAGCTGGTATTCAGTGGTCCCACAAAGTGCCTTTTTCAGCTGCCTGCAGCTGCATCGCCCCGCTCAGAGGCACTAGGAGGTAGAAGATGTTTGCCCAGATTGTCGGTACACTGGCGAGTCATCTAGGCATTTTTCTTGAAGACAAATAAGGATTTAATGAGATTCTAGAATTGGGATATTTATGTATATATATATATATATATTTCATGGGATGTAACCAACAATTAATCAATTATATTCAATTATGTTGTATATGTGTTTGTCTGAAAATGGGGGATGTCACCCCCAAGACAAAGTGTGTGTGTGGGCGGAAGAATATCTGAATCCAGTGGCGCTTTTTGGTCACACTATTCTCAAACAAACAGTTTGCTATTGAAAATGGCCAGAGAAATAGTTGATTTTCCTATTAAAAATGGTGATTTTCCATAGTTATGTTAGTTTACCAGAGGGTATATGGAACAATATATGCAATTTTGACACTTTGACATTCTGTGACCGTGCGGAAGTATCCATGATCCATGTTTCACCCCCTGCTACATCATGTCATCTACATATCGCTTCCAAGATCTGCATGGGAACTGATGACGGTCCCATGTGACCAATATGTGTTCGATATACTTTTGGGGTTTGAAAACCACCCAGAAACTCACCCCTTATCAAATATCATTGGATCATCTGTAGGGTTTACCCTTGAAGTATCTCCAGATATTCCTATCAGGATCCAGTTTTCAGTTGTTTCCAGCTCCTGCACCTGATGTCCAGGCTGAAAAGCTAGCGGCGGGCGACCCAGATCCACCGTTCGTTTGCTGGGAGTTTGGGGTCTCATCCCAATCAACACGTGGGTAACTCTCCGAAAATATGGTAATCCACTGATGACTCATCATTATCATTTTCCCCACTAAAACAGCAATTTTGGGGGGATGCTGTGGCCAATTTTCGGATAGACCCAAGTAATTAGCGACCCACCACGAGAGCAGCATGACAGAGGTGGGACATCCCTCAGTTTGCCATGGAAATCAATGATTTGGACGCCCTACTACTTTGGGGTGCAGTTCCACTAGTTGTTGTGGGCTAGAATTTACTGTGGTTTTAGGGGGTTATATCCCAACTTTTGGAGGCTAGACTCCCCGAGTTGTGCCTATTAATAACACTGCACTTTCAAGTTGCTTGGGGAGTTCAGGTGCATTTCTTTGTGGCTTCCTGGAGTTCTGGTGTTTTTTTAGCATTGCCATATTGGTAGCATACAGCAACTACAATGTGGGGACCCAGTGATGATTGTTGGTTTGTGAACAAAAAGAATACAATAGATATGATATAAGAATCATATAAATATCATTTAAATATCATATAAGTCATATAAGTATCATAAGCATCATCAACCATAGTGATTGGAGTTAGTTAGATTCACCAACAAAAAAGAACCCTTCGATCCATTCGCTCCCATCCAGCAATCCCCATCCAAAAACCAGACCTTTCCAGCCGTGCAGGCGAAGCTGTACAAGGCTGAGGAGAAGATAAAACAGCTGAAAGAACAAATCCGGGACCGGCGCCCTGCAGCGCCCTTTTAAAGCGTTGATGAGCGTTTCGTGGAAGGAATCCATGTCGTTTTCTGTTGGGGTAAATCATGAATCGTCTAGTCTAGCGCTTAAAATCTCAAAATATGGCTTTTGTGATTTTGAGTAATCTGCCCAGATATGATCCAAACTGATCCTGCTTGGTTTCCATGCTGGACTTGTGAGAATGGCAGTGGATCGGCTGTATGGTCGAAGATTGCTGGATATGGGGAGTGTAACCACAAAGGATGCAGTTAATAGTATACCCTCTGGTAAACTAACAGTTTGCTATGGAAAATCACCCTATTTAATTTTTTACTGGGTATATCAACTATAAATGGTCATTTTCCATAGCTATGTTAGTTTACCAGAGGGTAACTGGTTTGTATTTAAGAAAACCCAATAGTTGGGATGATGATCCAATCTGGCTTTCATATTTTTTTCAGGGGGTTGAAACCAACAATTAGTATAATATTGATTGGGGTTCCTTAAAATTGGGTTTAAGAAAAAGAAAACCCACCTAGGATGACGATCCTGGATGTAGGATGCCCATGTACCACCCAGTGCCAACATGGCACAGCAAAAACGGAAAAAATAACATGGGTTGAAACCACCAGCCAACGCAGGCGTACATCACGCCTTTGGAGTTGAAAAGCAGAATTCGGGGCGTATTGGGGGTTGGAAATGGATGTGCTTGCGGTGGTTTGCCGAAGGTTTCTTCATGTTTAAAGAACGTCTGATTGCTGTCATAGGCATGTAACTTTGTCCTGCGAAGGCTGTTGATGTCGCTGGGAGGTTTTCGTACCTGTGCCTAGAATGAGAAAGTGTTCAAAAGTGAAACAGACAAGTTCGGAACCTTAAGATCAAGTCGTGATGTTTGATCTGAAAAATAAGATACTGAATTGTGAATATGAGCAATCTGGCTGATACCCACAACCAGAACTATGTTTCTCAAGTTCGACATCAGTCATCATGGACGAGCTTCCTCTCCAAGCAGTTGCTGTACTGTGACACAGGAGTTGAAGAACCAGCTGGGACTGCCACAAGAACAGAGTGAAGAGGACAAACCGGGGAGATTTTGCCATGAATTTCATGGAAGATCTGCAAACAACTACTGGTGATTACTGGTGATGTTGAACAACTGCTACCCAATAGTGACTCTTTGAGAAGGGAAAGAAGGGATGTCCTTGTCCCACTTGATGTCAGTTGAAGATGTAAACCTTGTCATTTTTCACATCCGATAGTGGAATCTCCAGGGAACCCCTTGATAGTTTCCCACACCACTCCCAGAAGAAATCCCGGGTCACACCTAGACCTGCAAGGTGAGACCGCGGAATAAACATGGCAATGGAGGAGCTCCTCACTCGTAATTTGAAAATGATCCAGAAGAACCTCTAATTTTGGAACCTATAATAAGAACTATAAAAACACATTACTTGGTCCCAGAGGATCATTTGGTTACTGCTCTTTTTGCGGCCCTGGTTTAGCCCAGTTCTGCTGGCGAGGAAGTGGAGGAGGAAGTGGACACTGGCACTGCCTTCATGTCCCGCTACTATTTGCGCGTCCCTAGGGCTCAGGGGGAACTGGGACTGACGGTCCTGCGTCCAATGATAGTCAATCCCCAATTGTCAACCATAGCAGGGGGTCTTTAAAAGATCATGGGCAGCGGCAGAGACATATAGGTCAGGGTCGCGTACTTCAGATCGTAAATGAATGGAAATGAATAGTACATTTTCACACGGTAGTGCCCCGAACAAGTTCGATTACAGCACACATTAAGTGTAGATATATCTAAACTATCTAATCGTCATACACCCTAGTTATTGGACACCATGTGAGGCCTCCCTGAGTGTCACCGGACATGCCAAAGGATACAATCCAGTTGCAAACAGCTAGTGGCTGCTATGACTGCCAATTGTACTCCGGTTTATTGGATGACCACTGTCATGTTTTGCTCCATTAGTAAACCATTCATCCAAACAGCATGACTCATCATGGATCATCCAATAGATACAATATGATACAATCATATTTCCCTCATTGGTTTGGTTTGTGTGATATTTACGTTTAGATGTCAAATCATCATAATGGTAACGACGACGACGACGACGACGACGATGATGATGACGACGACGACGACAACAATATTAGTGATAACCCCGCTTGCCATTCGTTAAGTCACCGTTTCGTTTGTCAATGCCACACTCATGGATCGTGTGGGTTTGTTTGAACACAGTGTACCCTTCCCATATCATTTGATGGTTGATCATGATTTTCCATATGGAAAAAAACGAAGGCATCTTGATTTGGAGGTAAATCTTCCATTTTTCGCGCACAAACCCAGCTGTGACTCTGCGGGTGAAATTCCATTAATAGACAACAGTTATCACTGGTTACTTCAAGGACAGTTCCTTTTCCTCCCATGGTTTTTCTGGGGAAACAACACTGGAAGCCCACGCAAGGCCAAGAACAGCGGAAAGCCTCGGTGGATGCTTTTGAGCGAGGCGGGAAGCCTATGTCGACATGAACGTATTACCTAAGGCAGTTGGTGGAGTACCCCTCCTTTCTTGGTACTTTCAAACACCCTAGTATAGGATAGGATAGTATAGTATAGTCCAGTATAGTATAGTATAGTCCAGTATAGTATAGTATAGTCCAGTATAATATAGTATAGCAATGTATAGCATTACATAGTATAGTATTACATAGTATAGTATTACATAGTATAGTATTACATAGTATAGTATTACATAGTATAGTATTACATAGTATAGTATTACATAGCATAGTATTACATAGTATAGTATTACATAGTTTAGTATTACATAGTACAGTATTACATAGTACAGTATTACATAGTACAGTATTACATAGTATAATTATAGTTATAATCATAGTCGTAGTTATAGTTGTAGTAATAGTCATACTTATAGTATCTTATAGTTATAGTATTGCATTATTCAGATGCTCTGTCATTGAAAGTTTATGTCGTCTTGAAGTTTAAACAATTAATTCTAAAGTCAAGTAGCATGGCTTCCAGCATCTTCCAGCACTGGGCTTTGCCAGGATGCAAAATACAAATCGCAGAAGAAGACCCAGGACGAGAGCAAACAGGCTACGGTGGCCCCCACCGGAGGGTTGACGTGTCGATGTTTGTCTCAAAAGTTATGACAAGTCGAATGGGGAAAAGGAGGCTTTGAAAGTATGGATATCTTTGGGGTTCCAAATTTAATGCCATGGATTTTCACAAAAATATCCGTCTTGGGCTGGGGCTTTAGAATGATTCTCATGATTGTGGGGACCGCAAATTTTGAGACTACTGGTAGCCCAAGTCATGATTGCCTTTCGCGAAATGAAAGTGGCCATATCACGATGCTGTGTTGTTCCCCGTATTTCATGATTTTACCTTATTTGATTTACAGCCAATCATAGGTTTTGGGCCACCCGGCACGAAGGACTTGCGTATTCATGTTGTGTTGATGGAGTTTGCGAATATTCCATCTTGAACCTCATTTCCGGATCCAATTCCTTTATATAAGTTCCAGAAACATTTCCTCAATAATATTCCAAATTCAAAAACAAACATCAAACCTTCCAGGTCGTGGGTGGTGGTCCTTTGCCTGTTGGACAGATGGGCATGGGCTGGGCTGGTGGGGAATCCCTGCGGGAGCCGGGACTTCGCTGGGAGTTTGTCAATGTTTACCAAGTGCAAATGGGAGTGATGCTAGCCCAAGATGGGAATTCAGGCCGAAACCGACCAAAAACACATGGTTTTCACTGTGACTTTGACGACCAAGAACCGTTGTCGTCGCTTAATTTGTCTGTTGATATGAATTGTTTAGATCCAATTTCCCCCTTCTCGATTTGGACCCATCCCCATCCATCGTGCTTGGTTTAACCACCATGTTTATTAAGTTATACGTTATGCTATGATTCCTGCTGCTGTTTCAAACCATGTTATATTGACCCCTTCTTATACCATATCAAATCATATTAAATCATACTAAACTATATAAATCATACTAAACCAGGTTAAACCATATGAAACCATATGAAACCACACTTTCTATGAGTTCAAGATCACCATGTTGCTTCAACCGGCGAGGTGGCGCTCAACCACAAGAGGCCTCGCGCGCCTTCAACTTTTTGAGGTCCGACTTCCCATGGGATGATCCAGCAACGGAGGATTCACCAAGAATCTGAGATTTTGGAGATTTCTATGGGATAAACTTCTAGCTGAACTACATGAACTATATGAACTATATATATCATATGAAAAATGGGAATAGTGAATAAATCTTACTATAAATCAAGATCTCATGATTCAATGATAAACACCATTGGTTTGTCTAAATGTAGGAGACCTCGAAATCCAATGGTGTTTATCATAATTTTTCCACATTAAAATGCTAATCTTAGAGGTATACCCCATTTTCAGACACATTTGTCTGAGATACCAGCAAGAATCACCATTGAGGATCAAAGCAACAAAAACTGGATGGGGATTAAATAGGAATGGGATAATCCAAATTAATCCAGTCAACCATCGAGTAAACTAACATATCTTATGGAAAATCACCATTTGTTTATATATGTTTTATAAATCATGGTAAATCATCGAACTAAAATGAACTAAATCTATAAAATGGACTATGTCTTGCATAGCAAACTCTTAGTTTATCAGAGGGCATTTGGCTTGGTCTGAAAATGTGAGAAGGGGTACCCCATCATCCCAAAATCCAGGCCTTGATCAGCATATTCCCTATTGAAAATGGCAATAGTGGTGTACACCAGTTCTGGGCAAATATGTTTTTTCCTGGAACTAAATTGATTTTTAGTATGTTAAATCCGCTCGCTTCGGGGTTGAACATGCCAAGCTAAGATATCCCCAGTTGCTTGATTTTTTATGACGGAAAAAACTCTTTAGACAAGTATGAGAAAGAGGTCCCAGATGTTATGGAGATTTTTCCAGAGGTGATTCCCTGGATCAGGGAGTATAATGTGAGGCAGATCAGTATACCAAATCTGAAGGAATCAGATCGACAATGGAAAATCCCCGATTTAGTTCGATGATTTTCCCAGATGACACTGGAGGGTAAACCCATTCATCATCATTAATCCCATTGATGTTTCCATACAAATCACCGAAAGAATCCCAATTTATTGGTAAATCCCATTAAAGAGACTTGATGGGAATATTATTGACATTAATGGCTTACTTCAACCCATTCACCGGAATTGGTTCTCAGGAAAGCGCCGGGAGCATCGCCGAGTACCTGAGCCAAGCTGAGCCAGGTCAAAGTGTCGAAAAGTTGTTGAGATCTAATGCAAGTTCTGTGCTTTAATAGGGTTTTATAGCATTGGTTTGGTATTGTTTAACATGGTTTGATATGTTTCACTATGGTTTAATTCATGATTTCTATTGCCCAAACTGGTGCTATGCTGTTTATGATAGCAACTATGGCTCTGTCCAAGTGGAATCGGACGGGTTGGGGCCAGTGGGTTGTCTGAAAGAATAGACATATTTTGACTATCTCAGACTGACTGTCCAATTACCCTTAAAAATTGATACTTTAATACTTTACTCATTTCAGTAATTTTGCCAATATTCACGGAAAATGGAAGGCCTAGGTAGATATTTGTTCTTCATCCAACCTATATGGATTAACGGCCAAAATAAGTGTGTTTTCAAGCGCCATAGCTGGGGTAACATCATCGAAGCGCCCCAGGTCGCGCAGGAACACAGGTGCGCTTGCAGTACTCCTTCACTCAAGCTTCGCCGCTCGATCCGATTATGGGGAATGGAGGAGTTTTTCCCAACATAAAATTGTTATTTCAATCTATTTCACCACTAAAAAGATCATAAGATCATATAAGATCTAAGGATTAAAAAGGATTAAAGAAGTAAAGATGATCTAAAGATAATCTAACCCAGTACAACTTGGACTTTGACCAGGAAAATGATGAGTTTATATGAACATATCTGAACTACTAAAGTTACTAATGCTGGCTGGTGGTCTCAGACTCCCGCGGACTTGGGTGACGATGTTTCGAGCTCCTGATGATGCCAGACGCCAACTTGGGATGGAGATCAATTTCACATGGAATCTGACTTCAAAAATGTGCCCTGGTGGTTTCAAACATGTTTTATGTTCCATATTAATATATGTATATATATATATATATGGGAATAATCATCCCAACTGACGAACTCCATCATTTTTCAAGATGGTTATTGCACCACCAACCAGTGCCTTTCTCAAACCGATTCGATCGCACCACTATGATGAAGCACTGCTGGTGTCGCCACGGAGACCAGGTCTTTAGCAGAAGGACCAGGCACCCGTTGAACGGATTGGCGACGGTGCGATAGGTAACCTGTGTTTCTTACGGGGGAAAAGGTGAGGTGAGATATGTTGAGATACATAGTGCGGGAAAGCAAGGTACCAACTTTGAAACATCGGGTTTTTGCATTGGATGTCGATGCAGATTTGGGACAGCATCAACAATCTTGTTCCGAGGATTGCACTCAATTCATCTCTTGATCGTAAACAAGATGTTGAACGCAATATGAACAACATGTAGATTTCAAACTTGTTGGATAGTAGAATGCATAGAGCATCAAATTCCAAGCTGGGTATCATCAAAAACGGGTACACCTTGAGGAATCTTCACATCTTCGTAGCCCTCCGAAAGGAAACAATATGTAACTTTTTTGTTGTTCCAACAAGCAGGTGCCCCAGGTTGGACTAACTGTAGGGTTTACGTATAGGAGAACTTGTACTGTAACTGAGGGGCTACCTTGAAGTATGTAGGCTGGTGAAAACAACATAAATCATACATATCATACATCCAGAAACCTAGAAACTCCTAGAAACTCCTAGAAACTCAAGTATGTTTAGTACTATAAACAGTTTTGGAAACCGAGACTTCGGTCCTGCAGAACGGTGGAGCCTGTGCCTTTTTTGATCCCTGGAAATCAACCAGATTGGATTGCCAGAGGGATGATGATCACATGACTAGCTGCACCAGGATTTTTGTTGCTTTGTTTCGTGACATGTTTTTTTTTCAGCTGCCATCTCCAAATTCTTCATTTGTGTTCACTGAAATTTCCGTTCCAAAAAAACGAGGGAAACGGGCAAACTTCAGGTAAATGTCATCATCGTTTTACTCATAAGTCAGAACTCATAAGCCACTGAGCGGATCTACCCTTTGTTTCCGCAGAGTCACGGATGCCATTGCGATCGTTTGAAGAGACCCGAAAAAACAGCTGGATCCATCTGGATCTTTTCATTGCCCAACAAAAATAGCCTCTGGTAAAGTAACATAACTATGGAAAATCACCATTTTTAATAGGGAAATAAGGGAAATGAAAAACTATTTCTATGGCCATGTTCAATAGCAAACTGTTAAATTACCAGAGGGTAAGTAGCCGGGTTATCAAGTGTCACCATGAAGTGGGGACTCTATCCTTGTTTAAAGTAATTAATAGTGTACTATCCGGCTTATCACTATCCTCATCATAATTAATATCATTATCCTATGAAGTGGGGCCGCCACACCATAGCTAAGTTGCTGGGTTTACAGCTCAAATTTAACCATGGTTTATCATACTTATAAGAAACTGGTATTCATAGGGTTACAACTACCCAACTTAGCCATCACTGGGGGGCCCATCACTTCAGTTAATTTGACCATTATTGCTTGGATTAATCATTGTGTATCATCATTAGCCACTATTATCATCATTAACCACTATTAACCGGTAATAATAATCATTATTGTCATTATTAACAATTTATCATTGTGGTTCGTTGACCATTATTGATTACTGATGATCATGAATCAAAGAAATACAGATCACCACGAACCATCCATCCCCCCTCCGACATGGTCTCGCTCGTCACGCAAGATGCTTCCCCTGCGTCATCCCATGCGGCTGGGGCCTTCAACAGGCGAATTCCACCGGGTGTCCTGGAGACTGGGAGATTTTTTCGTTTGCTATGGATGCCCATAAAACTAGATGATTTACATGGAAAAAAACATGGATTTACCTGATTGACCTATTAAGATTTATGATTTTCCATGCTGTTAAAGTTAATAGAGGGGATATGTTTAGGTGCTATCATGTAGTGATGCAGTTCAGTTTCGATCTAGAGAAGATAGCAACAGGATGAATGATTATATATATATATATATCGTGATTTAAGAGGATTTAAGATGATTTAACTAACACAAGTGAGAATTTGTTGGCACAAACACGACAGGATTTGACCAACAACAATAGACGTCTTTTAATCAACATTGGAATCGATAGAAGCAATGGCAGGTTCTGTTTGAATCGAATGGTTGTCCCAGACACAATACAGTTGATGGCATGGGACTACTGAAAACATCCCCAGTCATGGTGGATCATGGTTCCATGTAAGGGAGTGGTTACCCATAAATGTTGAACAGGTGCTGGAAAAAAAAAGTTTCTTTCAGTGGCCCGACTGCCAGTCATGTTTTTTGGTTTATAAATCCGTAGAATGCTGTAGATATATCCACCATAAATCCAACATAAATCCCTGTGACTGTAGTTGTGTGCACCATCAACTTACCTATCTTTGGGACCCCACATGGTAGGTGTGGGTTGTCATAGCCTACAATGGAAACCACAGCAAAGCGCACAAAGATGACTAGCCTCTTTGCAGATTCAGCAGTGTTTAAAACCCCCTGCTGGTTGATCCTTATGTATATCCAATATATTAGGGATATATATCTGGGTAAATTATAACGTTCTCACTGCGACCGAACCCTGGAATCATGGTTACTAAGGCAAATCATCCCCAAATGGCCTTAATTCAGGTTAGTGAAATATTGTAATTTGCCCATATATATATATATAGGGTCATACTGTCATACTGTAATTAATGTTGGGTACTGATTAGTGTAGGGGGCCCACCCCCCATTCACAAAATACTCAATTATTTCTGACTCACGATAGAGTCCCTTAGTCACTAATCGGTATGCAACATTAATAATGTAACCAACCAGCCAATTGTTTAACCAATGATTAACCAATGATTCACCATTATTAACCATTATTAACCATTATTAACCATTATTAACCAACCATTAGGTATACCAACTTAACGTAATTATTGGATATATCATGATTTGGGGTTATACTATCCAATGTACTGGAGATATTCGTTTCAGGATGAACACGATTCACGGCGGTCCTATGCAAGGCGAGGGCAGGACATGGCATCCGTGGGAAGAACTTGGTAGAACTAGGTGATTTTTGTAGCTGTTGAATAGGAAATCCGTTGGGTCACATGATGATCATGGGAAAATGGAGTTAAATCCGCCGAAGAGAACTGGAGTTCCACTGAGAAGTGGATGAACTACGGTAATCATATACGAGCCAATTGCAACCCATTACTTGAAAGCATCTGAGAATGTCATAAACTCATATAAACCCATCGAAGGCATTTTGTTTAGCTGTAACTGGTTCCCCCCTGATTTGACAGTGTATTTTTTTGAGGTAAACCTTACTGAATGGTTACTAAACGGTTTGATTCTTACAAGGTGGTGCCCCATAGTTGGCTAGGTTGGTTCATAACTCGAATAACGAGGGTTTATGGTAGCTATACAGTAGACATCTACATTATATAAATTTATATAACATATATATATATAGTATACATACACATAGCAATTGGGGTATTAAACCAACCATCTTGTAAATGCTTTGATTCCGTATTCTGTAACAGACTGCCTGGCAATCTGGAATTGTGCCTTTCTGGCTCCGAATAAAAAAGAGCCGCAGCGGCAGTTTTCTTCATGGGAATCTCTGCGGTCCCATCCCCGGCATTTTTTTGCACTACTCATGGTGTGTTTAGTGATAAATATTAAACTATAGTCCCACTGATATACTGTAGTCTAAACAGGTAATATTATCAGGGATAGTTATCTCTACTATATCTTCTACTTGCCCTGCTAAAAGAAATAGTTGCTTACCATGAGTTTTTGTTAGCAGGGTAAGGAGCGGATTAATCAAACATTACCATTGTAAGTAGCATTGTAACTGGACTAATCCGCTACCCTGCTAAAAAAACCTGTGGTTTGGTTCACTTGCTAATGGGGATCAACCACCAAAAAGGCTTGGCACATGTCCCATTCTGGGGGATGAACTGAACATCACTAACAGACAAGTATCTATTGGAGATGAAAAATCCCTGAGTCGGGTGTCCAAACAAAAATAGGACATTTACCAATCCTTGAGTTTAAGGCATTTTATAGTTTTTTGTTCTAAACAAATGATTTTCTGCATGTTTCCTGTTGAATTTCAATGCTAGTCACCTCATACCCGTCATATCTCAGACGCCGTTGTCGTTGCGCCGTCAGACACTCCTCATAGCCCAATGGCTGCACAAGAGGCGCAGAGGCCGGAAGCTGAACAGAGCTGAAGAAGGGACAAACGGTTCAGGACTTTGCCAGGAAAACAAAAGTGTCTATTCGGACTGAAGAATAGATATATATATATATATAGGGTAAGTATTTTTTTGAGGTTTATCATTTAAAATCATGTTTGACCCTCAACAAATGTGGATTTACCATCAATAGATGGGGATTTACTTTCAATAGATGGGAATGTAATCTATGAATGATACTGGGATATATAATAATCTATGAATGTATATACCCAATAAAACCATCCATTCAGGTGAAATTGGAGATACATAACCACGAAATGGGGATATGACAATTATGAAATGGGGATATAGACCATGTAACAACGTAACTGGTTTGCACATTCAAATTTTGTTGGTCTGAACATATTCTTTGTGGGGGTTTTTGATTCACCGAAAAACTACATCTAGGGTATAGAAACTCTCTACTCGTGTGGTTACCCTCTGGTAATTTAACAGTTTGCTATTGAAAATGGCCATAGAAATAGTGAGTTTTCCCATTAAATGTGGTGATTTTCCATAGTTGTGTTAGTTTACCAGAGAGTAATGTTGTTTTTTTTTTATGGTTTTGTCCTCCACACACTGGGATTGCACAAGAACACACACAGACAAAACAGCTGCAGTCGGGTGCAGTTCCACTCAAGGAGTCTCGGGGGTTGTTGCACCCCCACGTAGCTATTTTGTGGATTGAATGACGATCTGCGGTGATGAAACTCTGAAAGAAAACTCCATAGAGCTAAGTTTACTGTGACATGACTGAAGTGATTGATTCTTCTCATGGCTACCTTGTACCATGAACAACAACCAGGTTTTAGAATTGAACAAACCGGACATGTTGGGTTACCCTCTTGTAATTTAACATAACTCTGGGAAATCACCATCTTTAATATGTAAATCATCTATAAATGGGCCATTTTCAATAGCTATGTTAAATTACCAGAGGGTATGTTGGGGTCTCTTCACATGGGATGTGCTCCTCCCAATCAGCCCGGAAGGTTGATGCATTCCAACTCGATGCCGTTCTCAGCAGGCAGGAAATGCGCGGCTGACGATGGGTAACAGGTACGAAGCACAAAAAAAAGTGACTTGTCTTGGCAATTACCCTCTGGTAAACTAACATAACAATGGAACATCACCATGTTTAATGGGAAAGTTCACTATTTCTATGGCCATGTTCAATATCAAACTGTTAAATTACCAGAGGGTATCCAAGATTTTGACATGTCTGGTGATGGTGATAGTGTTGGATACAGTGTTGGATATAGTGTTGGATATATATAGTGTTGCTTAGTGATACACATGTAGCAACTGAAGTGAAAGAGACCCTGTTGAATAAACCTCAAGTGAAACAGTGTCCATTTGTTTGCACTCACGTTGCCAGGTAACGCGCTGGGTGATTGTCCTTGTAAATGTGACCCTTCTTTTCCAAACAAATGATGACTAACATCAACCCCGGTTGAGTAAACCACTCGGCTGTTGAATTAAGGGTACCCTCTGGTAAACTAACATAGCTATTGAAAATGACCAGTTATAGTGGATTTGCCCATTAAAAATTGTGATTTTCCATAGCTATGTTAAATTACCAGAGGGTACCATGAATGTAAGTTCCAAATTAGCACCCCAATGGGTTGTGAAAAATGGATCAACCAGTGTGATTAGGTTTGGCATGATGATTCCTCGAGGTGTTTTTCGAAACAACGGAAAGTTATATAGGATTATATACATCTGGGTAAATTATAACGACCTCACTGCGACCTCACTGGAATCATAGTTAATAAGGGAAATCATTCCCAAATGGCCTTAATTCAGGTTGGTGAAATATTATAATTTACCCAGATACATGAATTAGGACCAAATCCACACATTTATACCTCTAAAAAATAACATATCCCCTTTAAGAGGGATCACGTTTCTTTTTTTTCCATGATCAATCCGGTGATCGTAGGAGAACCCCAGGTACCGTCTCAATATGAGCGAGCTCGCAAAGCCGAACATTGATGGATGATTATAGGGGGTTACATTACATTTTTTTAATATTTATTAATATCATATATAATCTGGTTGGTGGTTTCAACCATTTTTTATTTTCCATTTCATATATGGGATGTCATCCTTCCCATTGACTTTCATATGTTTCAAGATGGTTCAAACCACCAACCAGTATAGCATTATATACCATTGTAGTCCATTATATTACATACCATGATATAGCATTATATACCATTATTATCAACTAGTGGGTACAGTTAACCAACCAGAATATATGGATCATATATGATCCAAGTGATCAGGTGGCCAATTCCACATAATGACTTGGTCCAACTGCATTGCATGACCATCTGAGTGTGGCGCAAATTGCTTCCCATCATGGTGCAACGCCGCCCAAGGAATCGATGACCCCAATGATAGCAGCTTGAAAAGCCTGAAAATTGCTGGTTGTTGATGCAAAAAAAAACCCTTTATTTTTTACCATTCTCATCACATTTTACAGTAGTTGGATCCCTATGTTTGTTGCTATTTTTGTTGCTAAGTCCCAGCACTTCTATCCATTTCTCATGGGCAAATACCGGCCATGCCAGGCCCCGATTCAGCGGCGTTTCACGGCGGTATCAGTAGGCGACGGAAAAGATGTGGAGCCGGCCTCATCTGGAAATATCTGGATATGAATTAAATGTAGATATACAATATAATATATATATACATCTATATATATATATAGAGATGTATATAGAGATGTATATACTGTGTATATATATATAGATGTACTGTACATATATTTGTAGCTTTCGACGATGAGATTGTAAGTGAGAAATCGGTTGACATATATATATATATATCACCTTTGGCGAGTTAGTTGAATCTTCGAGCATACCAACCTGCATTCAGCTTGGACTTCATCAAGATGATAGAATTGAGTGTGTTTGAAAGTACCCCACAATGCCATGGTTGATTTTTGTTGGTGCTTCAATCCTCCAATTTCTGGCGCTCAAATTGCCATGTTTGGGGTGGTGTGTGTAGGGCCCATTTTTGGTTCCTCATGAAGATTCAAATTATGTTCTTTAAAAGTGGCCGCTGCCCCGAAAAAACCCGTGGTTCATCTTTGGAATAGCCTTGAAGCGAGTATGAATTCCCAATGTTTGGGCCACATGTGCCATGGTCAAGTTACATTTGCATTGCTGATTTTCCCATCAAAATTGGTGACTGTCAACCCACGAAAGCAGCGTTTCATGTTCCCATTGGGAATCCCACATGAATGGGATGAGCACGGGCCCCATGGTCGTAAGTCCCATGTTTGTGACCGACCGGCCGTCAGGTTTGAATAGTATCATCACCATGTCTTTGATGGTCGAGCCCCATCAACGGTTAGAAAGTGATGGTTAAGTCTCCCATGGAAAGCCCAAAAGTAAACCCATCAACAGTGGTATAAATTGATGGTTGTGACCACATTCATCCCATTTTGATGGTAGAGTTGTGGCTATATTCAACACTTCTAAAAGGTGGGCTTCCCTATTAAGTATACGTGTATCTACCATAAATCCTAGCAGACCTACAAAAAAAACACAGCGTAGCTAGCAACTGGGGCCCCACCTTGTCTTTCTAACAAAGTGTTCCCCAGTGCTAAAACCAACATTCATTGGGCAGTTTTTTCGAGTCGCGTTCTACCAGTCTTTTATTTGTGGTTGGTGGTTTGGAACATGGCTTTTATTTGTCTATTCAGTTGGGAATGTCATCATCCCAACTGACGAACTCATATTTTTCAGAGGAGTATTTTCAGAGGGGTAGGTATACCACCAACCAGTATATAACTATGGTTGATATATTATAATGATTTAACATGATATGATAATTAGTCCAATATATCTATAGTTAATGGATTATAATTGACTATACATTAACTATATCTTAAATGATGATATATCTATATCATTTTAACATATAACATTAGACAAATGATAAACAACATGATTAATATCTAGTCAGTTGACTTAACTTGATATCTTCATCCCATCGCTAGGCAGAGTACTTCCAACTCATTGGTACCTGGATCAAATGGTCCCAACGTCTTTGTGCCACGCGCCAGTAGGGGTCCTCGGGATGATCTCGGGATGATCTGGGGGCATAAAAAGGGACAAACAAACGGAACATGAAAATATAGGAAGTATTGCCAAACACATGGTTAAAACCAGCATAAACAGGGATATTATAATATACTTATATATATATACATATATATATATTTATAATATATCTATATAATATATATATATATATATACATACAATCCTTATAAGTTTTGAATTGAATATGGTCATATCCCCATGCAACTTAAGTCGAAGTGCACCCCCAAGATTTTCTGGGTCCATTTGGATCATTTGGATGTTACGAAGGGAAACATACCTGGTTGGTAACATACAAGATATTTGGTTAAACCCCCAACATACGGTGGGTGGAAGAAATCCTGCACCACCTTGGATGGTTGAAACCCTACAAATAATGGGATTTTGCCCACCTATCAACTGGTGTAGGATTTCTTCCATCCACAGTATCTTAGTTGAAAAAAACAACATATCTTACCTTGTCAAAGAAATTTGGTTGGTAAGACTTCTCTCAACACACAGTCGAAGAAGAGCTGGGGTTCTGGGAGTCTCTGAACTACAGGTGAAACATGGTGAAACGATGTAGATTCCCTGGAGTGCTCCAGGTATGGCATGGCCAGGTTCTAAGATTCCCTTAAAGTGATTCAAAGAGTGATAGGTAAGTTTCTTTAGCCTATCTTGAGCATATGGTTTCTTGAACATGTTCCTTACCTAGATCATGTGGATTTGAGAATAGGGTACCCTTAAAAATCTCATTTTGTGTGTCATCATGTTATCATGTTCACCATTGAAACAGCAATAACTGAGGAGCCCATTTAAGTGTCAGATTCACTGGATTGATTTACGAGCAGATCCCAGCAGATCATATCCCCATCATATCCCCCATCATATCCCCATCAAAAGATGGAACATCATATTATCTCATATCATATCCCCATCAATATGTGTTTGACCACGATACCCCCCGGAAAAAATCTCCTTCATCCCACGATGCCGCGGTGCCCGTAGATACACCTCCACTGCCTCATCCCATTTACGCCGCTGGGGGAGGTGGCTTGGATGGTCGGAATCGCGAAGTCCAACGGTTGGTTTCACTCTTTAAAACCACTAAGTGGATATAACTATATAACTATGGTTGATCTATTTTAATGATTTCTGGTTGGTGGTTTCGAACATGAATTTTATTTTTCCCAGTTGGGATGATGATCCAGTCTGACTCATATTGTTCAGAGGGGTAGGTATACCACCAACCAGACTAAGTTTCAGGATATGCACTGGTTTATGATCTGGGGTGGTTGCCTGGAAATGTAGCCAACCATCAACGGGTCAACGGGTCGCCACCAGAAATGCGGATTAAAACATGGGGGTAAAGGTAAACTATATACTGATGATATACTGGTTGGTGGTTTCAAGTATGTTGTTTATGTATGTTTATGTCCATCCTCTTACTTGAGATGTTCAGAAACCATGTTTGTTTCTGCTTCAGGAGAGTTGAAACCGCCAGTATGGGTGAACCGTCATAGAAGAGCCATAGATACTGCTGTGCTGAAGGGGCGCAATGGGTTTCTGGAAGTAGAGCCATGGTCCCTTGTCCTTGGGATGCAGCTGGCAGCCATTTGAATCAGAAAATACATCAAATTCATAGTTCACTCTTTCTATGTACAACAATAAATGATAATTGGCTCCATGGAGAAGTCATCAGGTAGATTCATGTGTATATATGGAATTAACTATGTTAACTGTAGTATTGTATATATATACTGTAGTCTTGTATATACATATATATATACATATATATACATACTATATATATATATATCCGGATAAATTACAATGAGCTCAGTGTGACGTCCCTGGAATGATAGGAACTGGATTACAAAAAATCATCCCCAAACGGCCATTTATTGATAGCAGCTACAATATTTAGACATGTGGAAAAAACAGCAAGACAACATATAGAAATGTAGAAATGTTTGTTCCTATGCTGTAGATATATATATATATACATATGATTATATATGTAGATGATTTCCCGATTGCAGCACTATGAAATCCCAGCATTGCCGCAGGCTCCGTCTTCCACAATGCCAACTGGAGGTGTGGATGATTTGGATGTGGTTTAGATATGGAATATCCGCATATATATATATATATACATATGGAATCCATATGGAATCCATATGGAATCCATACCCATAAATTTCATTCCAGATTTGAAATGATATCAAGCAAGCTATATGAACATGCTATATTACGATATCTTGCTTCTCCATATCCACAAGGGTAAGGCTCTTTAGTAGATCGTGCGTAGATCCGTTTTTTTTGTTTGTTGAAGCTGGTTACCATTGCTTACCATTTGGGATAGGAGTTTCTTGCAGTTTGTCTAAGATCGGCCATGATTCATTCCGGATTTCTTCATTTAGGGGTGTCACATGTGAAAGTTTGAAACCCGGGCTGTGCCCCTTTACCAGTGACTTCTGCAAAGTTTCTAGAGGATCTAGTTGGATCTTATGTCATATCCATAGACTGTACACTTGATGATGTTCAACTGGCTTAGAGGGATAAAAAAAACAACTTATCCCACTATATAAGTGGCCTCAACATTGGAAAGAAGGGGATCTTTCCACACCACCAGGTAGAGTTCCAAAGCCAATTTTGAAGTTGCCAGCATTGAATCTCCGCGAATATCGTTGGGGCCTGTCCAGGGGTGGTCAAGCTGCGCCTTCCACGGGGCCTGCCTTCACCTCCAATATGGCAGGTGCAGCGTTCAAGCACCGTTGAATTCTATGGTTTATGGTGGATATAACTATATAACTATGGTTGATATATTTTAATGATTCTGGTTGGTGGTTTGGATTTTTTTAATGTTTTCATATATTGGGAATAATCATCCCAACTGACTAATATTGTTCAGAGGGGTTGAAATCACCAACCAGATTTAACATTATATGATAATTAATGCAATATATCATATCAATCTTAATGGATTGTGGTTTTAACAATGATATAGTTGACGGTTAAGGCCAACATGACAATTATAGTTAACATGATATTATAATTATTACAAGATAAGTATAGTTAATGGTTAATGCTTAGTGAATGAGTGAAGGGTGCGTTAACTGGATACAACTATGGTTCATCAGGGGAGCCATGAAGGTTTCTGACTGCGAAACTTACCAGACTTACCGATGGGGTATGTTCCGTTACCATGATTGATGCGCGGTTGTGAGCATTAAAATTATGGGGATATAGTTGATAAATGATGGTCGAGTGGTTATTTGTAGGGTTTTAATCATCAACCAGATGGTGATTGAAATGGATATTATAATTGATACCTGCTGGTTGCTTGATGATTATAAGGGATCAAATCCTACCCAATGTATGGTGGATTTTCATTGTCCATCACCTGAAAATCCCGTTCTTAACCATAATGGAATGACATTTCGGGTTTGGAGTGCTGTTGAGCTAAAAGTGTTGATGCACATTCATGAACACCCAGCCCACGAATAATGAGAGATACATGAAGATAATACTATACTATACCCACTGGTAATCAAACATGGCAATTGAAAATCCTCCATTTATAGATCATGTTCTCATTAAAACCTCCAGCTATAGTTCGGGGATTTCCCACGTTTGATGACACCTTTTAGGGGACCCATGGCCGATATGGCCGGCGGTTTTTTTCTACCTTGGACCTCATTTTCCTAAGGCCTCACTGGCAGAAATCCAATGGCCACAACATGTTCTGGGAAGCTATGGATCCATTGGACCCATCACAACTATTAATTTATTACGTCTTATACTGCTTGGTGGTTTGGAACATGTAGTTTTTCCATTCAGTTGGGAATGGAATGTCATCATCCCAACTGACTTTCACTCCATGATTTTTCAGAGGGATAGGCATACCACCAAGCAGTATATAACTATGGTTGATATATTAGAATGATTTAACATGATATGATAATTGTTGTGCAATATATATATATATTATATATCTATATGTTAATGGATTATAATTGACTATACATTAACTATATCCATTATTGTGGTATCCATTCTTGTGCCCTCCAGGCCCCATGGGTCCGGCGATGTCCAACCCTTTCAGGCCGGGCGTATGAATGGAATGGTGTGGTAAGGGTACCTATCCATAAAAAAAGGGGAATATATATTTTTTATACACTAAGAATGTCAAATATGTAATTCCTGAATTTTCACAAGATTTTTTTAAGAATGTGTAATGAGTGCTGTTTGGACTTCTGAGAACAACACATCTATTCCACAAAAAAAAACATAGTAAAAGTATGTAAAGATAAAGTATCTATTGTTGGATTCGTTTATACATTCATTATGTGTTAAACTAGTAAAATTGTTTCTATTTGAGGATCCTGGAGTCGAATCGAAAGAAGTCAGGTCACAACCCACCCTCCTTTTATCGAAGCATCGATTGCAGGCAAGAAGGCGGCGTCTCGGCAGTTCATTTGTCCTGGTGAAGCTATCAACAATGGCCACTTTGGGTGGTGCAGCCTACTTAGCTAAGTTGACTTACAAGTAGGTCAACCAGGGTTTAACGGTGAATATATCCATATTTGGATGGGTTTTGTAGCAACCATTTACAGGTGGGCATCATCTTGCAGATGTTGGTTGCTGATGCAATAATGGGTTACAATTCCTGGTTCTGCACAGGGTTCGGGAACTACCCTCTGGTAAACTAACATAGCTATGGAAAATCACAATTTTTGATGGGAAAACTCACTATAAATGACTATTTTCAATAGCAAACTGTTAAATTACCAGAGGGTAATCTTTTTAGTATTATAGTAATACCATGTAATACCTATCAAACAACAGGAAATTCTATGGGATGGGATAGACATACTGTCATGGCTCAGTTGGTAATGGAGGGTTTGCCGGTTTACCAACTAATATATATATATGTATTTATTTATATATAATATATATATATATATACAATTTATAATATATGATATTGAACATTTATCCCATGTATATTTATTATCCAATATCTTATCCCATAAAAGGTGTTTTTGAAAGTTGTTGATGTTCCTTTCTTCAGAAATGCGTTGCTTTTTGATCCCCAATGGACATTGATAGCCGGTGTCTAATATGTCTCCAAGAATTGTCAGCGTTGAAAAGTCGGATGAACCACTGACTCAAATGTGCTGTCAAGGAGCTGTTGGGGTCACATGTTTGATACAGGTTGCAATCACCAAATAGGAAATCCCGAGAGCAAAACACGTCTACCCAAGTCAAGCAATGGCTCAACAGTAACTTGTGCCTTGAGCACCAAAAAGCGACAGATGATGATTCCCGGTGGTGCCCGATAGTTGGTTAGGTCGATCTACAGCTCCAATATCCCGGGTTCTTGGTAGATGTATCAAACATGATCAAACTAGTTTTCATGGCGGTTATAAACCAACAAAACACATCTGGGAGACCACCTTGCAAATTCTTTGATTCCCCATCTACAGATCCTATGTTCCATGTACGGAATAGTTACCAACATTTACTCCCAAAATGACCCAAATGTAGGAACATATTCCAGCACCACGGAGCATATGAGGATGATTTTCCCCATGAAAACCACGAGTTTTCTGAGGGAAAACTCCCAGGGTTGCCACCTTTGATCATCTGAGGTATGCCGAACCTGGGTGGGATCAGGCGGCCGAGATCGGAAAACGGTGGGTTTTCATTGGATTTAGATAGGATTGTCCTCTGATCCCATGGCCTTGCTATGGAAGTTTTTGCGTGCTATGGAAAATATGAATAGGATTTTAATAAGATTTAATATTATATAAAATCTGATCTCTTGTATAATCTGATTTATGGGAATATGATACAAGTCTGGGATTTGAGCTTGCGAAACTAGCCCATTTCGTTCGATGATTTGCCCATGACAACTGGTGATGTTCATTGATTTTCCATGGCGGTGTTGCCAGATGGTGTGTTTTTCATAGAATTGGATTATGGGAAAAATTACAGGAAAGCCCTATATTTGATGGTAAAAACCATGGTTTCCTGTAGATTTTCCCTTAATCCAATCCAGTGAGTTTTAAGCTAGATTGAGTCTTGAATGGAGTGACGGTTTCTCGGGATGGTCGACTTGGTGGCAAATTCCGCAACAAAAAGCGGGCCTGTTGAAAGCTGCAGCCCGTTTCTAGAGAGGTTCCGGTATCATCCAACGTGGCTGGGAAATCCACTTGTGCTTACCCTCTGGTAATTTAACATAGCTATTGAAAGATCCACCGTGTTTAATGGGAAAATCCACTATAAATGGTCATGTTCAATAGCAAACTGTTAAATTACCAGAGGGTAGTAGGGAATGAGATGGAATGAGGGAATGAGGGAATGATCCACTGGCTAACTATCAATAATCCCAGCAACCCCCATTCCCATCCATTCCCTACTAAGCACCAGTAAGTAAATGGTGGATTTTCCAGCCAGCCACGTTTGATTACCAGACTGTACTTACTCGTAGCTTCAAGACGATTATTTCCACCGTCTTGAAGAAAAAAACCATGTCCACCATCTCGAACCCTCCACCCTCATGTGAATTTTCTCACCAAGATTGTGTGACATTTTAGGCTCATCATCATGTTCCCAAGATAGTCATATCAAGTTATTCCCAAGATAGTCATCTCAAGTTATAATATATATATATATTATAATATATATATATATGTATTTACATACATTTGTAATAGTTAAAATTAGTTATCTCAAATTCCCAAGATAATAGTTTGTCCAACAACCTCCCTCTGCCACTTGCCGCAGGCTGGGCACGCCTCCTATCCTGAACCCATCTGGTCTCAACGGTCTGCAGGGACCTTCCGCCCCTGCACCCGCTGGACCCCCTGGGCCCGGGCCACAGCAAGCACGGGCAGCGCCCATCGTGGAGGCTACTGGCAGCAGCAGCCTGGCTGTGGGAGGCTTCTCGCAGTCGCTGGGGAAGCGCCTTGGTTAAGAATTGGGGGGACAACAGGGGGTGCAGGTGCGGGTCTAGCCATGTCTAGCCTCTTTTTGGAAGGCCTTGCAAATAGCTACAGTGTGGCCCCAGCTTTGAGAAAGTAATCTAACAAGTTCGGTTTATCTACCATACATCATTGTGTGAAGCATACTTTTTTGAACCAACTTACCCATCTTGCGGGTGGCCCACCTTGTACCAATCTCAATGAGTCACACATCTCAATGGCACTTGGGCCTCTGGAGTTTTTTTTTGTAGGTGCCATAAATGGAGGTAGCAGGTACTAACCGATCTACTTATTTTTTTTGGCAGGGTATGGTATTGAATGCAAGGCTCGATCTCAGTCGGCTTTTGATTTTGACATGTCCGCTATCAGCCAATGAGTGGATTACATCAGATGGGCGTTCATGAGACAGGTGCATAGTTAGCTGGTGATGGTCACTGGCTTGGGAGTGGCTAGATCATGGGTTAGTTTATCATAGTTTATCCACTTACGATCACCAGTTTCATTCAAATTTAACAGTTTGCCATGGGAAATAAATCAATTGCTGATCAGCGAAGTATTTCTGGGCCATGGTTTCCAGTTCGCAAACTCTTATGTTATGCATTACCAGAGGGTCGCAATGCTAATTGTTATTGCTATCATTGATATCCCATAAAATCATCAGTAGACCCGACAAATCACTATGCAACTGCAGTAAAATCCCATAAAAAGACAGCATCTTGATGGTAAATCGATAAATCGGAATCCCAAAGAATTTCCCATGATCTAAATCAATAAATCATCAATAAATCATCAATAAATCATCAATAAATCATCATAGATTCCCCTATGGAAATCATCATAAATCCATGACAAATCCCCATAGAAATCATAGGATTCCATCCTCAAAATCACCGAGTCTGTACCAAGGCCAAGCCCTTCCGGGAGCCCAGGCCAGCTGGGCGCTTTTGGATGGATCTTCGATAGCTCCCCAGTGAAATTCATGTGGTAAATGTGGGATAGAAATTAGGTATAGAATTGATGTGTAGAATTCTGTTTTGGGAATCTGTTTGAATCCGAAATTCTAGACTTCAGGATGAAAGAAAGAGCACGGCTGAAAACAACACATCTATTTGTACATTTTTTGTTAATTTTGGGATCCTTGATCGCCCAGTTTCGAGCCGCCAGGATCGACCCGGCCGAGCGATGAGGAGAGGGGAAGGCTTAAGGTGAAGGATGTGGACATATCTGGATGCTAATGGAATTTAATGGAATTCAACAATCAACAATGGGGATAATGGGGCTATCATTCCGGATGATATCCATGTATGTATTGAGGATCTCTTGTTAGGGATTCTACTACCTGTATTGGAGAATATCATGATCCATGATGGGAATCCCTATCTACCAAGCAGTGTGAATCTGTTCTGGATGAATTATGTTGTGACATCATGTAAAATCACTGTTTTCCATCGCTGGAATCATCCACAAATGGTGGTTTTTGAGAACACTTACTGTATTTCCGGGTTAGTGAATTGGTGATACTTCAGCCAGAAATATCATGGGAATATAACGAGATATATTGTATTTCATGTTGGATAATTCTAATGGAATATTGTGATTTTCCCAGATGTTTGGGTTTGGGATTTCATGATATAGTTATTATCCCAACCAATATAGAAAAGATGAAAGTAAATCCCTACTGAAAAAAGTGATCATTAACAGTGCTATCTGTTTGGGTCTTTTCGTGATTGGTGCTGATTATATAATCAGTGTCTCCGATTTCGTGTGTGCTTAAATTCATTTGGTGTTCACAAACTGGTGGATTTCCATGGATTTCCATGGATTTCCATAGGTTTCCCTTGCCGCGGAAGGACGTTCCCACTTCTTCTGCAGGTGCGGGTCACGTCAATGGGGTCAAAGCCCATTTGTCCATTAAAAGTCAAAGGTAACTCACAACATATGTGTTTCAAGTGTGTGTTTGGAAGGTTGTTTGACATGTCTGTTAAGACTACACATGGAAGGTTGAGGACCTTGTCCAATGCGTGTTTTTGGAAGGCTGTTTGGAAGGTTGTTTGCAAAGCTGCGCAGCTACACGTTGTTTTCACATGGAGACACATTGTTTCCAAACAACTTTCAGTTCAATATTCTGGATATTCTGGTAACAACCGATTGGACCCGGAAACAGATTGCTAAGCTGGAACCCCGCACAAGCCATTGTCGAAGATATCCAGAAATAAAACTTGGTAGGGAAAACCCCCGGAATCGTGTCTGTGGGCTGGAACCTCAGTGATAAGTGGGGTAAGTAGGGGCAATGTCCAGTTATAATGTCAGATTCTCTTGATTAGGCAGCTAATCCATTCCAGCAGACGTTTAGAGACGAGTTGGTGCTTTGAAGCAGTTCTTTCTTGCAATTGCTAACGCTGGGAACATGCCCACAACTGGGCTGATCAACGGCTCCAATTGCCCAAAAGCTGCACCACATTGACCAACTGGTTGGAGTTAGAAAGGTCAACATGTCCGAAATCTCTGGTTTTGGCTTTAGATGTTGACCCCGATCCTCAACAAAAACTGGCACCGGAAAAAAATCCTGCGAAACCGTTGGATTCCAGGTTTGCCTTTGATGCTTCCGAGCGAACCTGGAGCGAGCCGAGAGTTGGATGGCCTGATGTCACCATGGGAGGATTTGGGATCCCCACCTCCATGACTCTTCGGAAAATCTCCGAGTGGTGATCCAACAGTTGGTTCTTTTCTCCAGGCAAAAAGGGGGTTCAAAATGAATAGCTGGTTGGTGGTGACTGGAACATATCATGGAAACAATAGGAAAACCATAGGAAAACCATAGGAAAACCATAGGATCTGGTTGGTGGTTTGGAACATGGCTGGATTATGACTTTCCCATCATATTGGGAATGTCATCATCCCAACTGACTTTCACTCCATCATTTTTCAGACGGGTTCAAACTATACCACCAACCAGATTATCATACCGTATCAGACCAATTCAATCTGAGTGCATGCTTTGCACATCCTGGTCATGAACCCCCACTGATCCCCATTCTATGGTCCCAAATATGGGGTTTCATCATGGTTCATTTCTTTACAAGACCATGGTTTCTAGGGGTTGTTTAATATATTATATATGTATATAACTGTATATATATAATATGTATGTTAATATTAGGGGAATATGATTATATACGTATCTCACCTCGGAACTTATGATTGGATACCCAAGGGCCCAGCCTGCCAGCTCCAGATTCACTGCGATACTCTCCAGAATATGGCCTGATCTGTTGTGGTGACTATGCCAGCCTCATGAATCCGTAATTTTGCCGAATGTCACCAGCAAATGCGGGGTTTGACCCATTCTAAATTATACTAATGTTACTAATTAATGGATACTAATTAATACTAACGGCCTGATGCTTGTTGATTTTTTGACTCTCATCGACCCACTGCATGGAGGGGGCGCGCGTTTTTAATTAATGTTTTCGAAACCCAATATGTAATCACTCATGCCCTTGTTAAACTCGAAGCAGCATTTGAAGGGTAGTGTTGAACATACTCAAACATATTAAAACATTATTAAAACACCCCAACAAAAACACAGAAAACAACATAAGGAGGATCACATCTACTAGGACTACTACTAGGATTACCACCTTTCACTATCTTTATCTCCCCAAACTCCAGGCTGAGACATTCCAGTTCCTCCTTGTCATTGTCACCTGCCAGCTCGAGTCGAGTGGCACACGTGGGCTTGGTCCGGGCCCCCATATGGGGCCCCGGTCTGGCGATTCTCCGACAACTGTTCCGAACTGGATTCCTTTGGGGGGATGGATGGGGATGATATACGTAATACATAATGAAATATATATATATATATATTATAATATATATATATTATAATAATATATATATATTAATATATATATATATATATATTATATTATGTATATATATATGTCATAAAAAATACTTGATGATGATTCTACCATATTCTACCTATAAGAATAGATATAACTAGATATAGCGAATCATGTAGCCATGAGAGCAGGAACATTTTTGTGTTTACCCAGTTTCTGGGGATTTGGGATTGGACATCCGAGCAAAAATATGAGTTTCACCAACTTTGACAGAGGGACTTGTCATTGTTTGACCCATAGCCATTTAGCCTCACAACTTGGGATTGGTGTCGATGCTGACCATCTAGTGATCCCCATGGTTGTCGCTCCGCCACTGCAAAAGGTATGTCTGAAAATGGGGTGCCCCATCCCCCAAATTATAGTGAAAAATGAAAAACTGGTTGGTGGTTTGGAACATTTCTTATTTTTTCCATATATCGGGAATGTCATAAGCCCAACTGACGAAGTCATATTTTTAAGAGGGGTAGGTCAACCACCAACCAGATGAACATGAGGTTTTAAACGGCTGCAATGGGGTATTCCGAGACTCCCCGAATTCAGCCAGAGCCACGTCTTCCTGGGGTCCTTGGAAGTTGACATCCGATGTTGGCCATAGAACATCCCCATGTATGTGTTACCCGTTGAAACCATCCTGGTGGGATTTGGGAGGGTACCCCTTCAACATCTCATGATTCTCATGATATCCCATGGCTAAAACGTTCTGAAGCCACCTTTTATCAGCTGTCTGAAAAACGCCACGCCTTAAGGCCATGATTGATCCAATGTCTCCACAGGTGCAGAGTTCGATTGGGGAAGGTGGTGAATTGCTGAGGGAATCCATTGGGATTTGCTGTGCATTGCTCGCTGCTTGATGTCTAGGGCCGGGACCAAGATTGCAGCAGTAACTCCATCTGGGAGCCTAAAAAGTCACAGCACTTTCAAGGTGCTGTTGTTTTTTTTTCTGTGACCCAATTTTTATCTGTGACCATGGCAGTTGGACCTCGATCTGGACTAAAACTGCTCGAATGCAATGATGTTTACCTTGTGGCATTCAGAGGGCAACAGCTTTATCGGGAAGCACGTGGCAGGACCGCCCCATGTTGCAGCTCATTCCGCAATCAGGGGCCAGCCAGGCCCGGTACGCAATGTGGGGCCATGTGGAGCCCTAGGTCTCTAGGTTTGTTAGCCAACTTGGTTTGGGTGAACTATGGTCAGCTATGCTTTTTGAGTCTTTATGGTAGATGTCACAACAATGTACAATAATCAATAATCAAATGGGATTATAAACCAATTTCGATCGGCAATGACATTCTGGGTTCATTGGGGTAAAAAAAATGGTGTGGTGATCTCTGGGGGGCACTCATGTCCATAGTTTCAGGGCTGTTGCTGCATTGGTCATGTCTTAAGTATCTCGTTTGCTTAAAAAAAACATGTTACATCATGTTACTAGTTATAAACATCTATTTACTACTACTACAGCTATCGCTAGTGTCAGTGATAGTGGTAGTATCAAATGTTCATAAATATTCAGTTGTTACATTGAAATTGACACACCGGAATAGATCCTCCGTGCAGGACTTGCCGTTCATGATGGACTCCATGGAGGCGGTTTTTTCCAGCATTGATGATTTGGGGGGTAGCCCTATGACTTAGGAGACCATATACATATATATATATATACATATATACATATATATATATATAACTATATATATATATGTGGATGGATATATAATGTTGAATATGGATGTATATACCGTATGTATTTTACATTCAGTAGTAACTTACATTGTATATACGTAATACGTGATAAAATGTATATAGGGAAATGAACTGTACAAATGAAGCATTCAATGCACACAGGAACATCAAAGTAATGCTGTGTTCCAAAAGCATTGAGGAGATAAACAACATCAAACTAAGCAACGTCGAGAAGAACAAATGGGCAGACACAGTCACTCACAGAACTATTGGCCAATATGCGTGTTTTGTTCTGACCACTCACATCATAGATTGGCGATGGTCATTTTATCAGGGAATACATACCTGGACCCTTCAAGTACGGGTATTCTACCTCATGATTTTAGTACCTTTTCAATTTTAATGGATACTTGGAGGGTCTGAGTCTAGGTATGTAGGAATATGTAGGAATACATCTACCACAAATGCTTCGGGCAAATTGGGAACCTGGTCTCCTACCACGATCCCCTTTGACTCCCACCCGGCTGCAAGCTCCGCTCCGCAAGCGGAGGTGTCAGCTGCAAGAGCAGGTGCTCTCCGCAAATTATAGGGGGATTCGAAACCAGGTACTCTCCGGCAATTTATCATATGGAAACAATGTTCTATTTAGTTCGATGATTTACTGTTTCTAAGCATGGTGTTTTTTGTTTGCATAGTTATGTTAGTACATGAATGTTCTTTTTGTTTTAATAGGTTATATCAAGTAGTTCTTTATGATTGATACCATGGCACCCATGAAATCCATTATAATGATACACGTTACATGGCTCTCATTGGCTTCATCGGTATACACAAAGAAAAAACGGGTAAGTTGGCGCAACAGAAATCTAACAACTGAGTTGATGGTAGATGTCAAATTAGTTGACGGGGGGGTTATAAACCAACAAACATGACTTGGGAGCACCGTCTTGTCCCATTCTATGGGTTTGGTACTTGGAAAATATAGTCGTGGGAAAACACCCAATGCCGGCTCTGAGTTGCAATGATTTACGATGACTGTCACGACTGTGATGGATAGATTCCAAATTCTTGTTGGTGAATCAAGTCATTCCATGGTCTGTTGTTGCTCAAATTGTATTTTTTCTGCAAATATATTTCATTATATGATTAGTTTAAGTCAAGTCTCATCAAGTCTCAATTTGTTCATGAAGTTCCACGTTGGCTTTCAGCCTGTTGTGAAATTGCACTTTTTATCCCCGGTTTTTGTCATCCCATTTTTCTTGCTCTGTGATGCCTGTCTTTGGTGCATTTGCCATTTGGTGCATTTGCCATTGACCCCAAACGAATGGCCAGATGTTGCAGGTAAACACCACACTATAGACAATATGTAGCTAACATTGGGATAAGTTGCAGGTATATTCAGATAAGCTGAATGATTCAGTTTTGTACGAAGTTATAAACAACATACCTTCTTGTTATTTAGCGTAGCTATGGAAAATCACCATCATGCATGGATCAATCTTTATTTTATAATCTATTTTCATAGATACAAGCCGTAGGGCTTATATACTAACTTGTGCAGGTTTGTAAATTGCAAGTGAAACAGTTAAACCATGTTATACCTATTCATAACCTTCACAAGCCTAACTGCACCCCTAAGAATCCCTTGAACATGTGGGTGACCGGGGCCTGGGCTCTTTCCAGGTGCCAGTCGCACTTTGGAACGGCAAGCTGCCAGCTGGTCGGTCTGGCGACTCACCAGCTGTCCAATGGGACCATGATCCTGGCGCATCAAAAAACCAGTTCTCATTGGGGGATCATAGGTCAATTGGTGTTCACCATATTTAAGCAGAATATGGTGATATTATAGGGGGATAATCATAGGTCTAATATTTCAGATGATTATGAATTATGATTATCATAGGTCTAATATTTCAAAGGATTATGATGATCCCCTCATTTCTTGAGCGGCTTGAGCCCTGCGCCATTCGAATTGGCGCTGGAGCCTTGAACGATGGCACGGCACTTCCAGCGTTGGGTGGGCTGATCCCATGGAAATCCCATCTGGCTGGTGACTGGAACATGGCTGGATTATGACTTTCCCATCATATTGGGATTTTCATCATCCCATCTGACTTTCACTCCATCATTTTTCAGAGGGGTAGGGCTCAACCATCAACCAGATATATATATATATATGTATATGTTATATTATATATATATATACATTATGTTATATATATTTATTATATTATATATTATATTATATATATATATATAATATAATATAATATAATATAATATAATATATATATAGATAGATAGCAATTGTTTTCCCCTCTAGGCATGGAGTGATCCCAGTTGGATCCCATGGTTGATGAGAAAATGTGCCTTCTTTTTCTCATCCCACCAGTCCAGTGATGAGTTTCGCTGAGTCCTTTCCGTCCTCCTGGGGTTTTGCCGATGCTTCGCAAGGAGCGTGGGGAGACTGCTGGGAAACTTTGGGAAACGGTAGAAATTCAGGGATCATTGGATTGGTTTAGGGATGTTTAGGGCAAAATTAGAGGAAACCCTTAGATTTGATGATAAAACAAAACATGGTTTCTTGATGATGTTGATGTGGTGCACGGCAATTGATGACAGAAAATGCTGGTTTCTGGTTTGAGAGCTTTGCGCAAAACGACAGTCTGCCAAATGTACAGTTCCACTCTAGCTATTTCCAAAGATCTTATCTGGTTGGTGGTTTGGAACATTTCTTAATTTTTCCATTCAGTTGGGAATGTCATCATCCCAACTGACGAAGTCCATCATTTTTCAGAGGGGTAGGGCTCCACCATCAACCAGAGACAGATCTTATCGATCCATGGCTGCCGAACATTTTTCATTGACGTGACTTGACATAGGAATTGAAGGTGCAGTTCCATTCGCCTCTGGTAAACAAACAGTTTGCTACCCTCTGGTAAACAAACATAGCAATGGAAAATCACCATTTTTAATGGGAAAACTCACTATAAATGGCCATTTTCAATAGCTATGTTAAATTACCAGAGGGTATTGAAAATGACCATAGAAATAGTGGATTTACCCATGAATAGCATGGTGGATCTTTCCATCGTGTTTTGCAAACGTTTACCAGAGGCTAGTTTTTTGTTGCTTCGATTTTCCCGTGAATCTCAACTTGTGGAGCTTCAAATCCCAGTTCTACCGATGGGGGGATTTCAATAGCTGGATGGTCCATGGAATCACATATTTGTCGGATTCTCCAGGTACCCTGATTTCAGCAAACCCCTAGGAGTTGAATGGAATAGATCTTACCCTTGGCATCCCTGTCAGGACTGAGCGGTCCACCGGCTGTGGTGAATTTATCCATGCCTCAAAACCCCTCGTTACCAGGGTGGGGACCGCCTGGGGACGGGCCAGGGAGATCCAGTGGATCTAGTGGGATTCTATGTCAGACATACCCAGATATTGATTTATTGGTAGCTTCTCTATGTTTCTCTATCCAGGTTGGAGACCAGTTGCTGTTGGATCGGTTGGGGTTGTTCACCGCAAATGAACACTGACAATGTTGATGATGTTGATGGCTGGTTTCAGCCTATGAGTTGGTCTCTTCACATGTTGATGATGTTGATGGTATCTTGCTGCTTGAGGCTAGATATGTGAATCTACCATAGCCTGTTTTTTGGGGGGTTTACACACCTAAAAGTCTGGTTGGTGTATTTTTCCATGCAAACAAATGGGATGATCCGGAAATGCGTTACAATCAGTCCAGGGACTGGCAGTGACTGGCAGTCAAGGGATCCAATTAGCTCAAAGTTACCTCAGTAAGCCTCAGTACAAAGGATTGAACATTGATATTTACATAGTTTTAAATATACATGAACATTTTACATTTATATATATATATATATATACACATAATCAGATCACTTTATGTATATATATATATACATGATCATATGTATATAGATTAAACCCGTTGAAACTGCCGGGTTTATGCCTGCCACACAGAAACAGGGCCTGCAACATGGCTGGAACTCCTTACAGTGTGTTTCGACGCTTGGAAGATGTGTCGAACATGGAGCTGGCTAAAACTTTGAGATTTGATAAGAAGTAGAAATCATATGAGAGAGTAGTTAGCTGATTCTTTATGTACTTTGTGTCTCTAATTGCTAGTTTGTTTTTTTGGTCATGTTGGTCCATGGTACAGAAGATAGATTCTTTTCAATTGATGGACTCCACTTTTGGGGAAACCAACCCCAGCGAGGATGAGTCCCCAACATCCATTCCCACAAGTTTTATGCGCACCATCGTTACCTAAAAACTGGAGTATGACTCCAATAACATTTTGGGCTTTATGATAGATATATCAATGGCTCTTGGAGGGGTTTATACACCAACAAACATGCACAATCATGCGCAATCATACACAATCATACACAATCATACACAAACATATATATATAATATGCATATAATATATACTATGTATACATATATATATATATAGATATAGTCATTGAAAACATAATCAAATCATTAGAAAATCCCATTACATCGCCGTGAAATCCTTATTCGTCTTGGTTTGACCCCTCCTGCCAGAGACTGGCAAGGCCGGACTTGTCTCCTTCACAAGATCAGGTGCCTTGGCCGTGGAGAACTTGTGGTGGCACGTCGTTCCACATGCAACTGGAACTTGAAACAGCCATTACTTAGTGAAACAAACATATTCCTAACATAAGACAGCCATTTATTCCTGGTTGAGGATTCAGGTTGTATGTGAGCGAAGTTTGGATTGCTCCCCAGTTACCATCACCATTGGGTTCATCCTAGACGGACACACTCTGACACACCGTGAAGACGGTTGATGAAGTATGGCTGGGTCCCAGAATTCTGAAATATTTTGGAACCCACAAGGCCCAGATCCAACCATTCAGAAACTACTTTGGTAGTTGATTAGGGGAAGAACAGAAAGGCAGGCTGTTCCTCCCAGCTCCAAACAGCTGTGCAGAGTGCAGAGTGCAAGCATTCTGACATAATCGGTTCAGATGAAGCCCTTGGAGAAGCTGTTGCTACATGAAATGTTGGCCGGGAAGTTGTTGTTCACTCAACAGATCTCAACGGCATGCGCCATCCTTACATGCCTTGGTGTCGCAGGTGCCCATTTGTTGGACTTGGAGGGTCTCAGTGTCAGTCATTTGAGCATGGTCCATATCAGCATCATTCAGACGATGATCGCTTGTGTCGATTACACGACTGTACCTGGTAATTGAACATAGCCATTGAAAAATCAGCTCCTAGCTGATTTACCTATGAACAATTCAGTTATTCAATAGCTAAGCTAACTAATGTGGTTGAAACATCTTAAAACAATCATAAACCATCCCCAACATCTCCATAAATGGGTGGTATAGGCCATCAAAAATGGGGTGGTTCATGATTGTTTTAACCACATTATTTGGTTGGTGGTTTGGAACATTTTCTATTTTTCCATATATTGGGAATGTCATCATCCCAACTGACGAAGTCATATTTTTCAGAGGGGTAGGTCAACCACCAACCAGGATTTAATGGACCAATATTGATTTCTATGGGATGTCTATGGAATTTCTATGGGATTTCTAAGGGATTCAATGGTGACTTAACACAGGATTCAATGGTGTTTTCATTTTTTACATGATATGATATATAATTATTGCAATACATATATATAATATATATACATATATCATATATAATATATCATATATCTATAGTCTATAGTTAATGGATGTTAATGGATTATGGTTTTGTGAAACCACCAAGCAGTTATTGTGTTAACCACCAGATGCCCAAGGATTGCACCGCCCAGGTGCCTTCAAAGGAGGGGAACCAGGCGCGCACGGCCGGGCCATGGGCCCTGTGGGGTCGGAAAATGCCATTGCCAAAGATGGTTTGTATTTAAAGGGGCTATAGCGGCAAATGAGTTTATATATATATATAATATAAATTAAGATAACATATATATATATATAATATAATATAATATAATATAATATAATATAATATAATATATATATATATAATATAATATATATAATATAATATATATATAATATAGAGCATGTATGATGTAATGCAATATCATATACAATACAAGATACACTACAAATTTGTATAATTATAATCATCATCATTTAAAATAAAACATCTCAAATCTCAAAGTTTGAGTTTGGAATTCAGATGTCCCTTTCAAAATTGGCCGGTTTTTGGAGCAAGTCACCAGAATTCCCCTGGAAACATCTCCAGACAGTTCGAGAGTTCCGCCGTTCCGCCTGGTTGGATTTATGCAACAAAAAACTCATTGAATATCATGATGACATGGAATATGCTGAACATCCTAGGGGTTTTCTTGGTTGGCATGAAATGGGTTTGTGTGAAAATTGAGTACTGCAAACTTGATGGTTGATCAATGTTGATCATCATCTTCCCTATTGACATTGCCATTGCTATCCCCAATTTTCGGACAAACCCATATTGATCAGGTCAATGCCTCAGAAGAGGACAACTTGGAATTGCACTTCCAGTTCTGAGTGGATATATATATATATATACACATAACCATAGTTGTAGGACTTATGTCCCAACTTATCGGGGTTTATACCCATGCTCATGCTTATATCAACCTTTAACCTCAACTGCACCCCTAAGCAGACTGTGAACTTAAAGCAGGTTGCAAGTGTGTCTAAACCGTGTGATGGCAGCGTGATCCGTTTTCTATGCGACTTGCATTTGTTCACATACTGTGCACACTCTATTCCACATCTTCCGCGATGGATGTATATAAATGGAGAAAAAAAACAGGAGTTCTCCACTTTTTCTATTGTCAGCATAGATGGGTAAATGTTTGAAAATCAACACATCTTCTGGTGCATGTTTTCAAAAATATGTGTTATTTCCATCCCACAAACATGTGTTATTTCAATGACTACCCCGGAGGGAAACTTACTCTTTTGGTAATCCAATAGTTTCTCGTCATGTTTCCCAGTAAAACCTAATATACAGCGCATCTAAATGCAACTGTGGTGGGCCTGATTCCGTGCCTGGATGTTATGTTTCGTTCACTTAATACGGCGCATGTCTGTCTGCGGTCGGGTGCCTGATATGTTGCAGTGCAACAACATATAACCCCTAAAGGTGTTGTGGTTCTTCTTCTATTAAGTGCAACAACATATAAACCCTAAAGGTGTCGTGGCTCTTCTTACATTGAGTGCAACAACATATAAACGCTGAAGGTGTCGTGGCCCTTCTTACATTAAGTGCAACAACATAAACCCTAAAGGTGTCGTGGCTCTTCTTACATTGAGTGCAACAACATATAAACGCTGAAGGTGTCGTGGCTCTTCTTGCATTAAGTGCAACAACATATAAACTCTAAGGTGCCGTGGCTCTTCTTACATTAAGTGCAACAACATATAAACCCTAAAGATGTCGTGGCCCTTCTTACATTAAGTGCAAGAACATATAAACCCTAAAGATGCCGTGGCTTTTCTTACATTAAGTGCAACAACATATAAACCCTAAAGGTGCCGTGGCCCTTCTTACATTAAGTGCAACAACATATAAAGCCTAAAGGTGTCGTGTCTCTTCTTACATTAAGTGCAACAACATATAAACCCTAAAGACGTTGTGGCCCTTCTTAAATTCAGTGCAACAACATACAAACCCTAAAAGTGAGTCCATTTATGCCCCAAGTGAGCCCAGATATGCCCCAAGTGAGCCCATATATGCCCCAAGTGACCGATGTGAGCCCGTCGCCCATCAATTTTACAGACTTCCTCCAATTTCCCCCAATGAAATCAGGTATTTTCCCAAGAAAATTGCCAACTGTCCCAACAAATGCCAATTGTCCACTGAAAATTGTCAACATTGCCAATTCTCCGGTGAAAATTAGAACTGGTCTCATGAAAACTACCATTTTTCCCATTGAAATCGCCTGTGGGAAACTCGTAGGTCCCGGTCCATCGACCCATGCTGCATTCCACCACTGTGCCCTTGGACATCTTGGACCAAGACTTCATTACAGCCTCCACACCGATCCTGCAGCTGGATGGCATGGGAGATGTGGGTTTTCCGATGGGGAAGTTGGTACTTCAATATCATCAAAGAAACTCCAATTTCATGATGGGTTATGACAGTTTATGATTATACCTTATTATACCTATAAGATCTTATAACTATAGTGTTCATATGGGTCATAATCCAACTTATTCGTATGGTAACATGTTTGCTATTGTAATATGCATCGATGGATGGAACTTTAGTTCCAGTTTTTCTAAAACTATATACCAGGTGGTGTCCCCAGTTTGTTGGCTATAAACTAAATGCAGTTTGTTAGCCAAGTATCGGGCACCACCACCAGCCTTGTAGTTAGATGGGCATGTTCACCCATGTGTAGATGATGTACCTATGAATCCAACAAGAAACACCCTTTGCAACAAGAAATCGGATGAACTATTTATCATTACAAGCTGGTGCCCAAGTTGGCTTAGTTGCTGCGAATAGCTGCTGAAGGGCACCACCAACCGTTGACGACAGATGTCACCATGGGGCCTTTCAGCGAATACAATGGGATCGTTGGGCCTTGAATGGTGGGTGTGCAGTCTCCCATTTCCGCGAATCCTTTAGATGAGTGATTTCATATATATACATATATATATATATATGTTTGTATATGGGTATATATATATGTTTGTATATGGCATTAGTCAAGAGTTGGGTACCCCAAAATGATCAAAATCGTTGTATCCTGGTATTGTGGGGTTTTACATTGTGTCCATTTGTGGATGCAGCCATAGGATCTATGTTTTTTTTTTCAAATGTTGACGCTCACCAATATGTTGACCAATATGTTATCAATCTAGATCATATACTTATATCTTATATTAATTATATTTCAAAATTCTGCAATCAAACATGTATCCAGCATTTTTGAAAATGATTTGGACTGAGAGATACTTTTTTGGTCATACAATCCATCTGTAAAAAGACATTGGACAGGATTTTTACATGTTTTGCAATTTCAGCAGCTATTATTCATGAAACTCAAAACAAATCCTTTAAACATCGTGAGTATCTTGGATACTCCACGTCAGCGCGTCATCGCAATGGCAGCAGTGGCTTCACCCCCAGAGCTGCGCTTCTGGAGAGGTTGATGGACTCAGATTTTTTTGCGGGAAAATATGGGACTTTGTGGTGGGAAAACTATGGGGAATCATGTGGGAAACTAGATGTGAACATTGCTGGAAAATATGGGACCAGTTGTTTTTCATATGCGTTAATTGGCTGAGACCACGGATGAGTAGCTTCGTATTTTATCGCAGGATCAATCCTGGATAATTGAAACCTAGGATATCCTATAGGATGTATAAACCCCCAGTAGTAACAATTTCAACAGTACTTTATCATACGTGTTTAACTATTTTAGGGGAACCCAGCTAATTGATAAACGAGGGTTTGTTCATCCACGATTGAAATGATTGGCAATTTTTCAAGTTTCCTCAATCGTGGTCGAATATACATGTCAATTATATATTTAACCCATGATGTAATCGTCAACCCAAGAAATGAAGCAACACAAAAGCGGCGAGTAGTTCTCGATGATAATCCGCGCGTTAGAATCTCAACGTCGGGTGTATGGGATCAACCGGGTAAACCCAAACATAACCTATATGATCCTGTATGTAATTTTGCCTTTGGAGTGTTGTTATCTGACCTCACAAATTTTGGTTTAGCGTTGAGCAACGTTTTGGATTGTCTAGGTTATCAATGAACCCCGATGAAGCGCATATTTCATCCAAAATCCTTTTGCTGGAACCCATAATCCGGACAACGTTTGGGATTGATTTAGTGTTGGTGTTTGTCAGGTTTATCAACCTCACATTGATTCCCCATGAGACTCAATTAATACACCACACACCTTGTACTGCACAAGGTGGTGCCAGCCAGTGAAATGTTGGTTGGTAGCCCCGATTAAGTACTATAATAGTTTGATATATCTACCACAAACCCAACAGTGATTGAAGTTATCATAAACCAGCTTAGCAGCTTTGCTAACCACGTAAATACCATTGGATTTCCTAAAGTCACCAGTTTTGCTAACCGGCAGCTTGTAGAATGTGCTGTGTCAGCCCACCTTAGCAGTTTTTCTAAGCCACTCTGACACAAACTCATCTGACCGAAGGGTCATGTAAGCATCAAACATGAGGCTTTTTCCAAGCCAAAACAGTTCAACATGGGGAAAATAACCAATGAAAATTCATCGCCAGTGTGCCATGGTGGGGGGATGATCATCGTTTGGGGATGGAGGACTGTTGTGAACAAAAGGTTAAAAAGTCAGGTTAGTAAAATATTTATTTTAATGATGTGAACAAAAGGTAAAAGGGTACTGATCGGACTGATCGCGTCTTGGTCCCCAGTTCTGAAATCAGTCTCTTCATGGCTCAGCAATCGTTGGTTGGTCTTCTGTGTGTTATTGGCCACTTGGATTCGCTTGTCGTACTCATTGAATGACTATGATCATATTATATAATCCATTAAATCCCCATAAAATCAGCATTAATTTATTAGCATTTATACCCATTGAATCACCATGAAATCCCTATTTCCAATGGTAGACTGCAACTTTCAATATCCTTTTTCTCCAGGCAATTTTTGTTGGGGTGTGCCACGACGTGGTGCCCCAGTGAGCCAAATCGCTAAGTTGGTGGGTTCATAATTCCGGTCACTGTTGGATTTGTGGTAGATACATGTAGATACATCGAACTAGTTCAAGGGGTGCATCAACAAACGTCACATAATTCATATGATATATTTTATATAGAATTTATATTAATTTATATAAATCATCATGAAATCATCAGACAAATCAAGGACATCGCCATCCGATCCCCTTTTTTGAACGGATGGTGCCAGGCAAAGACGTGGTACCGGAGGATGTGCTGAGAACTGCTCAAGGGCCAGTGGGTAGTCAGGAGGCCTTTTCCCGGGGGTTGGACGACCGAAGTGATGATGGGTTTAGTATGAACATAAAATTTGAAAAACATCAAACAACCCAGGCTTTTCATCCTGGTCAATGTTCTAGATAGAGTTCCTCTCGCAAATTCGGAGACTTGATGTTGCCATGTTGGTTTACTGAAGGAAATGTTCAGAGATTTGTACAGTGCGTGTGTAGGAGCAACAACATGAAGCACATGTATGAAGATTATGAAGAGGTGGCCCAGCTGATTTCTTTGGATACTGTGTCAAGTATACCTGGCAGTAGTCAACGCCAGCCCTGTCTCATCGAAAAGAACGGTGAAGTTCATCCTGGTTTTGTCCTCAAGAAATGGGGCAAAAACCCTCCCATTTCTGGCCATTTGAATAAGGGAAACTAATGACCCACCATAGTCATGATATGATGCTCCAATCATCCTATGTTTATCCTAGGGTATCAAAATATGATAAGATATATTTATCCTAAAAACCTGAGGACGCTCTCTGAATTTTGGAGATAGCTCTGCAAGTTTCTCCCCCCTAGATAGCTTAGTTGATTCAAAAGCATCTTAAAACATGGTTAACTAGGGTTTATGGAGGATATATATATATATATATATATCTGGGCCGCAACTACCATCACAATCGGGGGCCACACCCTGTGGGGTCACTGCCATTCCCTACCAGCTTGGTCGCACTGCTGGCGTACTGCTGGTACTGGCATACATCGCGGTGGGCATTGCGCTGCGTCGTGACACTGGGCTGAACGGCGCTGGCAACGGGGGTGACATATCCTGAAAATCTAAAAGAAAAACATGTGGGGCCCCCAAACCATGGGAAACTGATGCAAATAATTATAGAACAATTAGGATTTATGTGGTGGATAGATCTATGCTTAAATGTTAAAAAAAAACATATTGTAATCACTTTTCAGGGTATGGGTTTGTCTGAAAACTGGGGATACCCTCGAAATGTAAACCGCTGGATTTGGGAGTATCGTATTTGCGGACAACCCACATGACAAGATATTTATAACCATTCACGTCCATTGACTAACTTCATGGATTTTCCGGATGTATCCCTTGGTGCTGATGATGAGAAGGATGATAAAATGATTATGATGATGAGAAAGATGAGGATTTCCCAGGGGACATGAAATCACCAACCAGTGGAAAATGGATGGTCATTGCTGTATACCCATGTTTTATTGGTGTATAGTATACAAATCATGTTCATTGAGACCGCACATTATCCAATCTCTTGGCATTGAGCGTATGGGCTTGGAATGATATGACTATGATATGACATAGTAAATTCATTATTATATGTAAAATATACTTAGATGGGGCCGCGTATGGGTGGATTTTTGTGCAGCCGCTCTGCCAGAGTGGCCTTTTGTGGCTTACCGTACTCCTCATCCATTATTTGATTGGGATAGCCATGAAAAACTGGGGGATTCCACCATCCAAAGCTTCATTTTTTTTAAAATGTTTTTTCAGGTGTCACAATAACAAACCATCCCCAATTTCAATTTTTAAGGGTGGTATGGTTGCCATTCCCAAATGGGTGGTTTATCATTGCTTTACCCCCATTACTATAAGATGAGCCAACTACAAAGCCGCTAACCAACCAGTGGCCAGGCATCATGGATGACGGACCACCGCTGCGACCAACTTCGCTGGTTTACTTTCAAGGCTGTCACGGGTCGAAGTGCATCGCAAGTGCGTCATAAGCCACGTCATATAAGCCATATAAAAGTGGAGATATCCAAATATATACATACATAATGTATTTATATACATACATAATGTATATTATATATATAGAGGGTATAGTAATAGTTGTAAGAGTACAGTATAAAGTGGAGATATTCCATTATGAAATTATGTATATAAATATAATTGGGGTAGGGTATGATAGTATAGTATAGTATGCTTGTAGTCCTGTTCTTTCAGCTTCGTAGCTGGGATGCACATGCAAGTTGAGTGAATTTCAAGGAAGTATTCCTTCATATTCCTTCAACCTTCAAATCTGGAATATGTCATCAAAAGTCTACCCTCTGGTAAACTAACATAACTATGGTAAATCACCATTTTCAATTGGTAAATCAACTGTAAAGGACATTTTTTTGCGGATGTTCTCTATTTTGGCTATCTTTGGGAGCTATTGAAACGTTGCCGCAGATCCCAAAAATTCTTCGCTGAGGTGCTGTTCCCTATATATCTTCTTCGGACGCTTTGGAGCATCAGCCTTTCATTGGATTTCGCGCCTTGGACTTCGGAGTTTGACATAATAATATATAAACATATACATGACATAATATAATATATATAATATACTCTGTATATATATATACTACACTATATACATATATAGTGTGTTACACACTATATATGTATATACTATATATATAAATATACCATATATACACATACTAATGCATATACTATATATATATACTATATACATACTATATATACATACTATATATGTATATACTATATATATATACACCACTATATATATATATATATATTCAGATATACTGTATATAATCCCGTCCCTCAATAGGTATCCAGCATTTTTCACATGCATGGCACCAAGAGGTGACTGTGTTACCCCTCAGCCTGGGATTTCACGTCCTGTGGTTCGTGCTGACGCTTGGTGGGAGCTGGAAGCGCATGATGCGACCAATGACGGGATGGAACCAACAATGGATTGGTTTTCATGGGAAAATCTACAGGAAACCCCCCATTGTTCATGGGAAAATGGATGGTTTCCGGTTAAGATTTTCCCTTAAGCCAATCCATTGAAAACCAACAACTTTTGGGGGTTTAACATGGTTAAACCATCCATATTTTGGAGACCTAATGAGATGATTAATGTGGAGTTGATGATATTCAACCCTGCAATTGACCACATCGAAGATATGGCACATTGGAAAAGATGATTTGCCTGTTGGAAAAGATGATTTTCCATAGCCATGTTGAACTACCAAAGGGTACCCTCTGGTAAATTAACTTGCTGACCCTGGCAGTCATCGGGCTTGGAAGATGAATTAGTTTCCATTTAAAAATGGTGATTTTCAGGGTCGATGTCTGTTAATTTACCAAAGGGTAATATCTGTCAGAAAACAACCAGCTTTTCCCATCCCATGATGCGTTTTTGGGGTTGGTCCAAGAACAGTGGGCGCTCGCCATCAAATATGCTTATTTGAACGGGGAAAATAAGTCTAATAGATTATAATACATATACATATATATATATATATTATATGCATATAAAAAAATATACTGGTTATTATATCACCTATCATCAAAGTATGTTCATGTTAGACAGCATCCATGGATATTTCACAACATACAGGGCACATTGACCATGTTTGGCCACGGCTCAGCCGAGGAGCCAGCAGCTGTCGACCTTTACTCCCGAGGCGCCTTGGCGGCGGAGCCACATCCATTTCTCCGAGTGTATTATACGCTGTGGATGTATAATACATGTAGATAATTGGATAGATATATTAGATTTGATTAGATCAGATCAGATAGATGTAGAGATAGAAGTTTGATTTTCCCTTGACCTTTTTTGAATGGCCGGTGCTGTAACCCGCCCACTGTGTTGCGTTTTTTTCAGGCCAAGGAAGTGCAAAGTGAAAGCGGTCAACCGCACGTGGTTCTCACCGGCTGGGCCCTGCTGATGGCGCAAGGATCGAGACTATAGGGAATGGTTGGGATGGGGATGGGGAGGGGTGCTATGTGCTGTGGAGAACCACGTGAGAGCCCCTTAAAGGCCTGACATAATCTGATATACAATGTTTTGATTATATGTATACTATATATCAGACATTTGTATATATAATATAATATAATATATATATATCATGATAAAAATCTATGATATATACGTATGATTTAATTTGATATGTTTCTACTATGTCATTTCTATGATAGACAGTATGATGTATAGCTCCAACTATGCCAAGAAGGTAACCCTTCAGGGTGTTTATTTGAAACATTGCTTGGTAAGTTCTTAGATGTTGTTCAGTTGAACCACTGATTGAGGCCGCCAACCATGCAGACATTCTAATTCGAGCAGTTCTAATAGTAGAACAATGTAGAGCTGTTGGTTATTTGTAAGATGGATCTGATCTATTTGTTTAAACTGAGCCACTTGCCATCTGGAAAGGCTTGATGAGGCTACCCCCGTTTGAACTCATACAAATTGGTTTCACAAATCAAAGTCAATTCTCATATGGTATATCTAAATTATTTCCACATCGACCACAAATGGATCGTACATGTATAAACCAGCAAAATGTGGGTGGTTCATTATTGATTTACTAACTGTTCTATCATTTTGGTTAGTTCCATATCGGATTTCTCAAAAGTCGAGTTTCACCTCGCGCCAGGAGAAAATATGGCCTTCACCTATCCACTACTAGCTGAGGTGATGGCTGTCCATTTCTGGTCAACACATTTGCTCCAGACATTCCGCGTGATAAAACCGCCGGGTTGGTCCCGTTTAAAACCCGTTAAAATGAATTTCTAGTGGGCAGTTTTCTTGTGGTATCCTGTTTAACGTCCGTGATAAAGATTGAGTTGTGCTGAGAAGTTTCGCCCCAGAGTTTTCGATCATACTCTGCAACGCACTGGCTGCCTGACCATCTTCCGCACAAATTTCTGAGTAAGAATTATTCAACTCAAATCATGAGTGTTATTAGTTAGTTACATCCCAACTGAAAATGGGTGTTGCAACCACGGCCCACTGGTTGTTTCAAACATGTTTGATGGTCCGTGGTAACAATGTGATGATCCCCCATTAGATTAACTGTTTTTTTCCGGGCTGTTGAAATCACCAACCATGATTATTCTAAAAAAACATAGTGTGACCATGCTTAGCGCCCAGTTACAACCCAGTTCTTCATGGTCCATTTTTTTTGTCCCACCCCAGTTGTACACCCCCCGTTCTGATGGAGGCCTCTCCACAACCCGTTGAAAGTTTGGCTGGCGCCATGATGTGGGATTTGGGCGCCAACATTTGGTCCCCTTGGCGCCAAGGGGTCCGACGTGTCATCCAAGAATGGGCTTTGATCATTTGTAACGTGTGGTACCCTTTGGTCATTTAACATAGCCATGGTATAGATGGCCCTAATCGAAATAGATGGTTTACCATTCTAAAAAATGGTGGATTTTTCCATGGCTATGTTAAATAATCGGATGGTAAATCCAATGATCAAGTATCCAATGGTGTGGGGTAAACCGGCGGGTTCCTGGGAGTGTTTATTGTTCGGCTTATCTTTTTCTAAGGGGGCATTTCATTTTCCTGGGTTTGTTTAAGGTGATGGTTGGCTTATGTTCCCAATAGGAAAAAAAACATCATTCATTTGGGGAAGGTATTCTGGATCCATATTTGAGAAATGTTGGGAACTTTTAAAGCTCCAAAAGTAGAGTTACTGACGTTGGGAGTTGGATGAACCCAGGGGTGACAGGTTTCCACTTGACTAGCCTCGCAAAATGTGCGACCCTGAAACGTTGCTGTTGTGTAAACCTTTGGAGAGCTGTGGTTCAATTCAGATTCAAACAATTCAATTGTGTGCTTTCCTTGGATATATACCCTCCAGGAATCGAACATAGCTGACATAGCTTGCTGGAAAATGTCCCATTTACAGAAGTCAGTTCGGGGATTTTTCGGCCAGCCACGTTTGGTTACCAGATCCCACTCATTTCCAGCCTCAATTTGGGATGCATCAATGCATCGACGGGAGGGCATTGGCTGATGGGGAAATCGAATGGAACTGCATGTTTTTCCGTTGTGGCAAGAAGTCTACCAGACGACTTGACGCAGACCCAAAGAAGCAAACACTCTGTCATTTCAAGGATTCGAATCCTCAAATCCATGGTTTGTATGGGTTTTTCAAGATACGTTCTCTTTATAAATGGCAATATTGGTGTTTCTGAAAACAGGGTATACCCCAAGTATTGCAGATTCAAATATGGGAAAGTGATGATTTGTTTTCAAATAATTTCAATCAAACCCATGTTCTGAAAGTATACACGTGGTTTTTCAATATATTAATGTTCCTTTATAACATGGCCATAGAAAGAAAGCCTGGCCTCATTGTGTCAGAACGCTGAGGCTTTGCCAGGGCTTTCTGTGGGGCATCGCCACCCTATACTCGCCACAAGTGCAGGCTCTGTCACTGGGTGAAGATGGATGAAGGTGATCCATCTCGTTGGTCACTGGAAGAAATGACCCGAGTAACCTTCAGAGTTTGAGCAATTTCTCACATTAGGATGATGATCGGCATTATTATTGGGATGGTTATTGGAATGATTATATACTGTACAAGATTATCATAAATTGATAAGATTCTTGGGATTATTATTATTATAAGGATGGTGATTTAAATATGTGAGTATGTTTTGAGTATGAAATGTTTGAAAATCTGTCTTTTCCACTTCTGTTCTAGACTGCTTGGACAGCATGTGCAACCAGTTGATTTCTTTTGCACAACTTGAAACTATCAAAAAATTGATTGGTTTGGCACAGGCCATGTTAGATAGACCGGTATAATCGGTATAATCCCTAGAAAACCTGGCTTTTCTGGGACATGTTGACCCTTTCATCTTACCATCGCCAGGCCGGGAGCTATCAAGCCATTCGCGCGCCAGAGACCGCGGGTGCCGTGGAATCCGAGAATGGATGGAGGTCATACAATGTGAGGCCCAGTGATGTGAACGTTGGTTTAGATTCGCCCCAGTAACTATATGTAACTATAGTTATAAGTACCGTAAACCATAGTTATTGGAGTTATAAACCAACTTAGCTATCTTGGGGGCCTCACATTGTAGGGATTTAACTACCAAAACTTAGGGATTCAACTACCAAACACGGGGAATTAAGTAGCCAAATGTGCGATTTTGCTACTGAAAAGTTGGATTTAGCTAGAAGAAATGGAGCTAAGAAGCACTCGTGGGGAGTTCACTACCAATAATCGAGCCAAAATACATCCGATTCAACCACCAAACATCCAAAACATGGATGAGAAAGATATGAGTTATGAGGGCTTGTTTTCATGAAGCACAATTAAACGAATGAGTCGTTTATTTCATGGAATTTCAGTCACCAAGCCCAACTCATCATTGGTCATCATTGGTCATGGACGACGAGGTGAGGAGGAAGACTGCACCAGCGATCTGATGGAGTCGACCTTTCAATCGCTGTCACCCGGTTTTCATCGAATGGAGAACGGCTGTTTTTTATGAGAACGATCATGGGTAGAAAGTCTCCCTGTTGATCATGGGGTGGGATGTTTTCTTTAGGAAGCAATCGAACATCATAATATATATATACACTTATATATAATATATATTATATTGTAGATAATTATATTACAGTTTTTAAAACCACTAGGTGGAAAATCTGTGACAATCCAGTAATTATGTTATCATCACTTCTCCATGTTTCGGATGCATTTCCCCACCTGGCACGAGGACCAGGAAGGCCCACCTCACCTTGGTACCCCATTCCACAGGCGTCATGAATGGACTATGTCCAATGACCATGTTTGGGAAAATCCCTCAACCTTTAGTGTATACCTAAAATACAAACGACTAAAGTAACTAAAGCTCTAAATCCAATGGGTTTGGGGTTGAACATGTATAAAGTATAAATTCCATTCATATGTGAATCCATGCTAGAATTGTCGGTTTATAGCCCAGTTCTATCCCATTCAGATCTTCGAGAAATGGGGGTGTAATCCCATCCCTGGCCCTTTCTGTGGTCCTAGTCGTACGTTGTGTCATCCTTACCTTTTACCATGTTTTTGGTGATGTTTCGTACGAATGAGGGAAGGGATTCATATCATATTGTTGGCGAAGTTAGCTATATCCTGGCTCCCATAAAACCCCAAACTTCATCAAATTCTATGAAATTTCATTGGGAGGAAGGAAATTATCCATTTTTTCCCGCGGTTTTCACGGCCGCATTGAAATTTGCTCCCCACTGAGGATGGGCAACTTGCCGCGTAGCTGGGCTTCGGGAGCGAAGGAGATCAACAGACACGGATGAGATAAATTGGGCTATGTGGGATGTAGAACCCATCATGTGGGATTATAATTTGGGATATGTGGGATATGTGGGATATTGGGATATGTAAATTGGGATAGTGGGAGCACGATGTATGGCTTTGTCTGAAGAAAACGGGCAAAACCTTGAACGGTTTAAGAAAGCCGTTGGTTTATCATCATTTACCCTCCTGAATGCCACACAGACCATCAAATACTGGGGGGGCGGCGTGCACCATGTTCAGACCCAAGAGTCAAGCCTTGGGGAACCTAAAGACCCAGTTGCTGTTGTTTGGTATTGATCCTCCAGCAATTATCATAGCATTAGTAGAACAGTTATAATATGCTAGAACAGTAGAACAGTTATGATTTAATATCCCATAGCATAGCATTTTTATTTAGTAATTATCCCAGTGTTCTAATTTGTTCTATTGTTTGTCTTGTACCATCATGTGTTGTATCACCATCCATCTAGTGGAGAGAGACCATCCGCGTTGGTTTACCATGCTTACCCCAAGGTTTGTATATGTAAATTTGTAAATATACATACATAACGTTTGCACAAATGTGTATGTATTAGAAAAGTACAATATACTATATATAATTATATACACGTATCCATGTCATCCCATCATATCACCACTTCAGTTCCATTAAGTCCTACTAAATCCCCTTGAATCCCCATTAAAGAAACAGTTTCCACGGTATCTTTTAGTAACATTAGTCAGTCCGACAGTTGTTGACCCATTGACCCATAGTGCATTGCGCAGGATGTGGCAATCAAAGCAGTGACCGACTCCATCTTACTACGCGCCTGTCTTGCCGGTATTTGTTCCTCGACTCAACGTTTTTTTTTTTCAGTCGTAAAATCCCTGGCAGAAATGGTGGTAAATTCCACTGGTGCTATCTTTTTGGGGAGGGTTACTATACGTAAAATTGAGCTTTGGCGCTGAAGGCGATTGATTGAAACCGGAGTCTTTGAAACCGGAGGTAGCCAGTTGGGCCTTTTGTGGGGCTTGAAAGATGGATGTGTAGATGTAAGATGATGCTGGTTGGTGGTTTGGAACATGACTTTTATGACTTCCCATTCAGTTGGGAATGTCATAATCCTAACTGACGAAGTCATATTTTTCAGAGGGGTAGGTATACCACCAACCAGTCGATGTAACACGATGTAACAGCTCTTAGTTATGAAAGAAGCCAACCAAGTCGGAGCTAAAGTCGAACCGCTGCCTGACAGCTTTCAGCGAGGTTTCAACCTGTTGAGAATTCCATTACCTTGGCCGCTCGGTTTTCCAAAAATGCGCCATGGGAATACAACCCCAAGATTTGTTGGATGCTTTTGTTGGGTTTTTATGGATTTGTTTGGGGATTTAATTGATTATATATATATATATATCGGATCAATCTTGTTTTCTTAATTTTATTAAGGGATTTCGTTGGGTTCTATGGGATTAGTTTGGACATTATGATCTGCGTTGCAACACTTTATGGTTTTGCCAGTTAACAGCTAGTTCCTAACCGCTTCACTAATCTCATGGCCCATTGTTTTAGGTATTTGGGTTAGCCAGCTGTTCAGTTATTTCCGTATATCATATGTGTATATAATATACACACACAGTCAATTATATATGTATATATATAGTATTATATACATGTTGGCTAAAGAAAATACTCCTTACACACACATAGTGAAAATTATATGTCTAAATCTGTGTAGGTAAATGTAGTTGAATCCCTTTACATGCATCTTGCCAGAGGCCCTCTTTCACCATTGACACCAGCTCAGGATTGTAGATGCAGCTCTCCTGCAAATTGGAGCCCTATGCAAGGTGGCTAGGGATCTGCCATGGCAGCTATAATGACTTAGTATGACTTGATGATATCAACAATACGATGACTGGTTGGTGGTTTGGAACATGACTTTTATGACTTTCCATAGATTGGGAATACTAATCCCAACTGACTTTCGTATTTTTCAGAGGGGTAGGGCTCAACCACCAACCAGGATGACTTGGTATTTCTCAAAGTGACTTTGATTGTGCAATCTCAGTGTATTGGGGTTACAAACATTTCATGGGGATTTCAGCAATATGTTGGCCCAATAAATGGTGATTTCGACCCAATGAAACGGTAGTATTGATAGATCCAAGCCTTGAGAGCCCAGATGAATAGATCCAATACATCCCAATACTATTGATACACATCGGCACATATGACCATATAATTTGATGTATAAAAACTGCACTGGCACTGCAGTTCTTGCTCCACAAAAAAAAAGATTTGTTCTTTGCTCACCAGAGCTCCCCGGTTCGGTGCCGAGATCTTGGGCTGGGTATCCTTGATGTGACCATCTCAAAATAGGATCGCCCTGAATAAGGAAGGGTGATCCAACACAACTGGACACCAATGCAGTGATCATATTCAGATCGAGAAACTCCTCGATTTGTTTGATCTGTTTGGGGATATACATGGTATAGTTCCAGATAGTTCCTGTAGTTCTAGTTCCGACCTGTTTAATCTCGATCCTGTGCTTACACTTACATTGCTGAGGAAGATGCTTTGGCTAATATTGAAATGAAGTTACAAACCAGCAGACAGCTTTGTCAATGGATTACCCCAAGCCCGAGATCAGACGGTTGATCATCATTTTCCTGGTTGGTGGTTTGGAACATGACTTTTATGACTTCCCATTCAGTTGGGAATGTCATAATCCTATCTGACGAAGTCATATTTTTCAGAGGGGTAGGTATACCACCAACCAGAATAGTTTTGTCTTTTTCATGGCAACTTGGGGGTTACCCCCTCTTTCAACGGGACACATCCTCCGTTCATGGCAAATTCAGCTGTGAAACATGGCATGCGGACCTGAAAATAAGCACTCCAAAATGGCATTATTGATTGTCAATGCCCTTGCTTTGGCAGATTTCTATAGATTTGTTTTTTGGTTTCAGATGATTGGGACACTATGGATGGCTATGTTCCTCCTCCAAATGGTCACATGTTCGATCAACGTTACACTTTAGTAAGTTTGATGGCTATCAGGTATTCCCTCTTTGAGACACCTTCAGATGGCAGGCATTTTTATACCTTTTGGTCGGATTGTACGCAGACTTCAACATCTCTTACGCAGACTGCCGGTGCGCCGCTCTGATGTGGGAAATCAGGGTGCAGGTGCAACAGTTGAGCACAGCAGTTGAGATGTGGAACAAAACAATGGCAACAAATAGGTGGTTGGTGATTTCAATTTGTGTTACTGTCATATGCATTCTTTCCAAAATTCGGACCATTCGTCCAGTTCTGCTTTTTCGTACGCATTTTGACCCATCAGCCAGCAACCAATCTTGCAAGTGCTATCTGCCTTGGTGTCACAGGAAACGCTGGTTACGTTAGGTTAGAGTAAGAAAACACAAAAAATCCCCAGTGAAAATGTTCAGCACCCCATCAATGGTGATGTTTTCCAATCCGCTACACCATGACTTGTCGCCTGATGGAACTGTGGGGAGGGGGTCAGAAGGAAGTCTGACTTCGGCAATTTAAAACAGCCCAAATATTTTTTCGACGAATGAGTTATTTGAACATAAAACTGGTTGGTGGTTTGGAACATGTGTTTTCCATATATTGAGAAGAATCATCCCAACTGACTTAGTATGACTTGATGATATCAACAATACGATGACTGGTTGGTGGTTTGGAACATTACTTTATTTTTCCATATATTGGGAATGTCATCATCCCAACTGCCGTTCATATTTTTCAGAGGGATTGAAGCCACCAACCAGATAAGTGCTATCCAGATTATATCCAGATGATTTTCTGATAATGCACACAGAAGCCAATCCATTGGAATCGCTGTTTGGGTTTATACTTGATCTATTGATCTTTGTATGAGTACTTGGTTGGTGGTCTTATTCATATATGTTTCTTTTCCTGTCCAGCAAATGACATGATGATCCCAATGACTCTATGATACAGGTTGAAACCACCGTTTTGGTTGTTTGAATACCCAGATTGGTTGGCTCAGTCACAACTGTTCTTGGTAAAATCACCGAGTTCAAATCACAATTTATGTTGGTTAAATCAAACATTGTGTTAGTAAAATCACAATGTTTATTGGTAAAATATGTTTTGTTGGCTGGTAAACATCACGATTTTGGTTGCAGAAAAAACGAGTTGCGTCAAGTCGAGTTGATGATAGAAGTTTGATAGAATTCACAGTCCCCATGTTGATTTCCCCCACGTGTTTTGTGTTTAAATAAAACCGAAATGGAAAATCCCTGTTCATAGATGATGTTCCATTTAAAATTCATTTAGTTCGGGGATTTCCCATTGCTATGTTTGATTACCCGAGGGTAAGTTTGATTCCCCATGTGTTTTGTCCGATTTCAAACGATGTTCCGGCCATCCCGCCAGGTTCATTGCGGCGACCCTGGCCCAGCGTTTTGCTGCGCAGATTGCCTTGGCGATGCCACCTGGCGGCGGTGGAGATTTTGCACCCCGTGGTGCGAAGATGGAAACATCTGGGGATAGCTCCCACGTTTTATTGCCATTTCAATGGAGAAAATGCTGATAAACCATGCCATTGTCATGTTTTTTTTTGTTTTCAAGTAAAGATGTGAGACAAGGGTTGGCAAGTGTCCGATCTTGGTGATTTCCACATCACCTTCAATATTCTTTGTAGTAGGTTTTAAGATATTTCAGGATTTGTCATGTAAATTCCCTTGTTTCCCCATTCCAAAGTCCTACCTGCGGCATGGCTCAACAAAAATCCCAAATCTTTGGAATTCATGGCCTGAAACTTCCACCAATCCTTGGAGATGCTTGGTTTTTTTCTTTTCACATGATTCATGACTGCAGGAGAATGAACAATAACTATACTATCGGTAATATATAGGATAATAATTATACATTAATTATACTGGTAATAATTATAACTAATTGCAGGTAATAATTATACTGGTCGGTGGTTTGGAACATGACTTTTATGACTTTCCATAATATATGGGATAATCCTTCCCAACTGACGTTCATATTTTTCAGAGGGGTAGGTATACCACCAACCAGTAGGGATTCAAAGTTGAGTTGAAGACTGATGAAGATTGAAGATCATGCGAAGATTTTGACTTGAAGGTGCTGATAAACCCAAAAAACCAATGGCAATATGTGGTCGAGACACGCCAGTGGCTTCAGTCTACCAATCACAGTTGCAGATGCATCGCTGAAATCACTCTCCAACTCAACTCATTGCAACTACCCAGGCAACTCTTTAGATATGGAAAATTGTTCCTTTACCTGAGGGCAAATCAGCTTAAAAACGAGGGGCCAAAGGTGATGCTTGTCGGTCTATAGCTCATCAAACTGCAGATGCCACTGCAACCCTAGTCATGTTCATATACATGGCTTTTGTTGGTTAGATATGTAGAAACCCAATGTCAACATATACCTGTTCTTTGGTTACATCTCTATTTTTAGTTTGCTATTCTGGCAGCATGGTACTTTGATGGGCCATGGGAATATGCGATTTACATCGATTTACCAACCAGTTAACCAATGCCATGGCCCATCCAAGTACTACGAGTTACTTAGCATCTGAGATGCGTCCAACCCAGGCTACTGATTGAGGCAGTGCCACTGCCCAGCCTCACATGTCGGAATGCCACTCGGTGGAGTCGTGCGAGGGACGAGAAAACTGAAGTTCCAATGGGTTTTGATGGGATTTCACGGGTTTTAAAGCGATTCTTATCGGGATTGAATTGGTTTTAGTGGGATTTTAAAGAAAATCCAGTTTTGGTGCTAATAAATTGCACCCTTAGCTTTTTTCTAGTTAATGCTAACTCCGGATGAATAACCCCATGGGCTATTTAATTGACAGGAAGCTACCATTTTTGTAGCAGCTTATCACCATTTTGGAGTTTGTTTTCTCAACCAGGGTTTGCTAAGGCTGTCATTGCTGATAAACATACGTATTCATGTTGTGGGTCAACGCCCCTGCTTTGTTCGAAGCTTCTAAGCGTTTTAAGCATCTTGAAGCTCCATTTCTTGTTGCGATGAGACCATCATTCGCTGGCAACAAGTGGAAGCTCAAAATGAGGTACACATGAACCCACAGTTGGTCATGTTTAGTGTATGAAGCCATCATAAATTTTGGTTGGTCCATAACTTTGACCAGCCGTAGCAATATACCAAATCCATTGGTGAATGAAACACGGCAATGAGCTTTTCTTGGTTTAATCCCCTCTGGTTTGAAGTATGTTCAACCGTTGAACCCCCTAAACATGATCCAAGCTGACGTTCACATGTTGTTGGATTTGAAACCAGGAGCCAGCCCTATGTTCAGTAAACCATTTTTTGCTGATTTCCGAGGTTTGGTTTTAGATGTTTTAGGGAACAATTGCAGGACACCCCAATCATTTTGTGTGCAAAAACAATGTTCCCGCTTAAGATTTTCCCTTCAAAATCAATCCATTTATATAGTACTTGCTTAAATCACCTTTTTTTCAAAAAAAATCGGCTCCATTTTGAATGCTTAAACTCCCATGGAGATCTCTGCTTTTTGCTTTTCAATCTGCAAGGCTTTGGTGGTCACAATCTTCTCTCCGGGACCATCCGTGCTCATGCACATCTTAGCGCCTGGACGACCATGGCGTTTCCCTCTGGCAGGGTGGATACTTAGTAACTGGTGAGTAACTGGGGTTATAACCCAATTGTATATATGGGATAAGCTCACGAAATGGGGACTTAGTAAGTAGGGTTATCTACCACTTGTTTAAGTAGAATGATCCTCCAAGTGGGATTGGCGACTCTCCGGGAATCAAACTTGGCGATTAAACGAAATTGGCTGCGACATCGCTAGAAATGATGGTTAGCACGTGTGACATTATCCCAACGTTGGCTTCGAATGCTATATTCCAATCATATTTTTGGAGAGGCATCCCTGGTGTAGTTGAGGTTACAACTGGGTATAGCCATAGATTTGGCGCGCCCAGCAGTTGGGATATAACCAGCTGCTCCAAGGCAGAGGTTGGCTATGGACAGCATCTGGTGAAGCTCTGTGTGACCAGCAGCCTCGTCAATACTGTGCTGTCGGGGCGCCCCAGTAGGGGCGATGGGATTCAACGGGATGATGAAAATCAATGGATTGGTTTTGTTGGGAAAATCTGAGCCGGAAACCACAGTTATTTCCCCCATGAAATATATGGGGCTTTCCTGTAAATTATCCCTTAAACCAATGGAAACCACAGTTATTTCCCATTAAATATGGGGCTTTCCTGTAAATTATCCCTTAAACCAATGGAAACCACAGTTATTTCCCATTAAATATGGGGCTTTCCTGTAAATTATCCCTTAAACCAATGGAAACCACAGTTATTTCCCATTAAATATGGGGCTTTCCTGTAAATTATCCCTTAAACCAATGGAAACCACAGTTATTTCCCATTAAATATGGGGCTTTCCTGTAAATTATCCCTTAAACCAATGGAAACCACAGATTTCCCATGAAATATATGGGGCTTTCCGGTTAAAATTATCCCTTAAACCAATGGAAACCACAAATTTCCCCATGAAATATATGGGGCTTTCCTGTAAATTATCCCTTAAACCAATGGAAACCACAGATTTCCCATGAAATATATGGGGCTTTCCGGTTAAAATTATCCCTTAAACCAATGGAAACCACAAATTTCCCATTAAATATGGGGCTTTCCTGTAAATTATCCCTTAAACCAATGGAAACCACAGATTTCCCATGAAATATATGGGGCTTTCCGGTTAAAATTATCCCTTAAACCAATGGAAACCACAAATTTCCCATTAAATATGGGGCTTTCCTGTAAATTATCCCTTAAACCAATGGAAACCACAGATTTCCCATGAAAATATGGGGCTTTCCTGTAAATTATCCCTTAAACCAATGGAAACCACAGATTTCCCATGAAATATATGGGGCTTTCCGGTTAAAATTATCCCTTAAACCAATGGAAACCACAAATTTCCCATTAAATATGGGGCTTTCCTGTAAATTATCCCTTAAACCAATGGAAACCACAGATTTCCCATTAAATATGGGGCTTTCCGGTTAAAATTATCCCTTAAACCAATGGAAACCACAAATTTCCCATTAAATATGGGGCTTTCCTGTAAATTATCCCTTAAACCAATGGAAACCACAGATTTCCCATTAAATATGGGGCTTTCCGGTTAAAATTATCCCTTAAACCAATGGAAACCACAAATTTCCCATTAAATATGGGGCTTTCCTGTAAATTATCCCTTAAACCAATCCATTGAATTAAGTGTTTGCGTGTCTGCAAAAACACCCATGCACTACTGCAGAAAAGCCGCTGGAGATCGCGATGACTCGGCGACTGACCTATTTGAAGCCATGGTTACTTGCAGATGGTACAGAATACGTAGCTGCATTGATCCATTTCCACAGGGTACTGCAAAGTGGGTGGATCTTGACCCTCCAATTGTAGATAAATATGGGTATATACACCCCACAAACCCAACAGTTGGCCTAGTCTCAAAGCATAGCTATAGAACCTATTAACTTGGGCACCCTTCTGACTACATCCTGAAGATAACTGGGAACCCCCAAAGCAGCCCAGGTGTTTGTTGATCCAAAATGCACTTCTGCAATATCTTCCAGGCGCGGGTAGTTCTAGAAGCAATCCAATGCACAGCAACTGGTGAACTCCAGATTGCTCCGGGAATTTGTAGAACTTTGTAGACCTGAGCTGCACGAATAACACACAAACCAAGGGCCCCAAACCACCATAGGATGGCAGAAGGCAGCAACAGAAGCGGATTTGTTTCACGGAAACCCACATGAGCAGTGACTGCTAAACCTCCGGTGATTGTTGATTATATGGAGTTATACTATGTTGGACTATCCAATATATTGAGGATTATCACAATGCATGGTGGGAATCTCTATGACCCAGCCAATGTAAAGAGGCGACAGAGGGTTTTAAACACTGCAGGCATGAATGTACAGGTAACTATAACATTAAGAGTAGGATAGACATAGACTAACCAGAGACCAAACATAACAACAATGTATTGGATATATTTGGAGATACCGTTCTCATTTGTTGATTGATCATTGGAATCATTGGATAAGGCTCCGGGCCGCGAAGTATCTGTAAAGATTTTTCACAGTTACTTATTCCCACTTTAATATATCATAATGATATAATTGTTACTGTATGTTATTGTCATTGGGTTTCCAACACCAATACTAAGAACAAGTCGAAACAAAGCACCAAAAGGAGGTCACACCATGGACATGCCAGTGGTTATAGTGGTCCCTTTCCCGTTGCGGCTCACAGGCTGACCAGGTCCGCTCTAGCGCAAATTTGGATCCCAACGTGGTGCGAACTGCGGCGCGTGCAAAAAAAACACCAAGTTTGGCGCAACGGTTTGGGTGTGCAACTTGCAGGTCGAATATTTGGGTATATGAATATGGTATGATATGGGTATGGGTCAAAACCCTGGTACCTAGTGAACCCCAAAATAGCTGGGATTTATGGATGTTCATCCCACTAAAAATGTATCTATAGGTATTGACCCATACCCATATTGAAGCTATTCAAAGAATTGCACGGCTTCAACGGGGATCTACCAAGTATATCCAAGTATGATAACTGAGACAATTAAATTTGTACCTAGAGACACTTGATTTTGTACAATTAGTTCTGGATATCTCCGGATCTGGTTGTCATTGAAAGCAGTTCTCATGTGATTTTCGAAAAACTTGGAGAACCCCTGAGCTCTAATGACCATTTCTACTTGATCGATTCATTACTTGGTTGCTTTATCCATATGCTTTTTGCTACTGTTCCATCCAGCAAGTATAAAGAGATTGCTATCTCGATTGAGTTTCATATTTGCTCGGAGTAGCGGCAACCAATCAGATATGGTTTTCCTACACACCTGTAATGGTCATATCCCAATTCTTGTCGGTTGATCTGTTCTGGTGTGTTGATCTCCCCGGAATAATTGCAGGAAACCTGTGACAAGTGGAAATTCAACCCAAAAAAAACTGCAAGTTTCATCAAGCATACTCCACATTTGCCAACACTTTCGGATGGTTTTTTGTTTCTCATCGACGTTTGGATTTTGAGAGATGATACGAGGGTTTCTTGCTTGTTATCTGATTTTTGATGAACCAGCCAATAGTGGTTGGTGGTTTCAAACATTTGTTATTGTCCATTTCATATATGGGATGTCATCCTTCCCATTGACGAACTCCATGATTTTTCAAGGTGGTTAAAACATGTTAAAACATGTTAAAACCACCAAGCAGAATATTTTGGAAGCTCCTGAGGCCCAAAGCTGCCACTTCTTCCAAAGTTGATGGGACTGGCAGCGCTTCCAAAGGCAGAGTTAGCCGATCCGCAGCCATGGGAGGAATGTGAGGAAACGGCTGTGGATTTCTTGGGGATTCGATGTGTTTTTTGACAAATCGTGATATGATGTGATACCCTCTGGTAATTTAACAGTTTGCTATTGAAAATGGCCATTTATAGTGAGTTTTCCCATGAAAAATGGTGATTTTCCATAGCTATGTTAGTTTACCAGAGGGTATGTTTTTGTTTAGTGATCATCAACCAGATGAAAAACGTTGGAGCCATTTTTGTCTCCAGTAAAGCTACTTTTCGATAGGGAAAGATAGGGAAAGTGCAAGGTGAAATACCATAGCCCATATAGCTATTTGAGGGCTTTCTTAAAATTGGGAGATCCCAAGGTCACCACAGGTTTCAATATTGAAATTGTCTGGTAACTTGGATGACTTGGATGACTTGGGAAACCTCCATAGATCATACCCTCTGGTTATGACTAGCATAGCCATGGTATAGATGGCCCATAGAAATACATGGCCTACCTATTAAAAATGGTGGATCTTTCCATGGCAAACTGTCAAATAACCAGATGGTAGTTAGTTGCTCCAAGTTTGCTGGAGCCCCTGTCCATGTCCTGCCAGAAGCCGTCGCGTCGGCACCTGCGGCTCAGGCGTTTTGTGGGTGCAGCTGTTTTTTTTTGTTTCCCCGTGGAAAGGGCTATGTAGCCATGGCCATGTGTTGAATGGTTTCATTGCAAATTACAGTATGATATGTTTTTTTTTCTGATGTTTATGTCTCCTTATTTTACCTGGAATTCACGGGATATAGAGCACACCCCAAAATAAGACTTTTGTTTGCGGGGGGGTGCTATATAGTCAACAATATGATAAGGATATTTGATGATTGGTAGATAATTGAAATCTATAATGGGGTATTCAGACAACATTGCATGGGATGATAATAAATATATATATATAATGGTGTATATCTCGATGATTTTTTTCTGAACATGGGAAAATCGCCCCACATGTATGGTCATGTTCACAGGTAAAGTGAGTTGCCATCCATCAGTGACAGTGGGGCACAACTCGGTGATCCCAATCGGCATGTTATTTCCACTAGGTGTCATTCCTGTCATCCTGGAGAAAGCATACAAAAGGACCATTGCTAAGCAAACACAGATAGATAGGATAGGATAGGATAGATAGATGGATAGATAGACAAGCAATCTCAGTATTGGACAAAGTGTTTTTTAGTTACTTGGTTACTAAGCCCATGGGAACCATGACAAAAAGTTTGCTTCCAGGGGGAATCTGTGCTTTCGAAGTGCTGAGCGCATCCATATGTTCCACATCTAACCGACCTGCAATTCTTGGACTGTACTCGGCCGTCACATTGAGCTTGTGAACCTAAGATGCTGGGCGAAGCTGTTGTCAAACAAAATCTGGTTATTTTCACATGGTCGGGATGACATGCACGAACGTGAAGTCGGATGAAACGGCACCAAGTCAGGTTGAACATTGTTGAACTCGCAAATTAAATCCAAACCATTAAAGAAGCAACATATTGACACCAACAAACTTACAAAACCGTCAAACATTGACCGTTCTTTATTTGGCCACCCGTCCGTATGGTGAGATGCGCTGAGAGACGGAAGATTCTTCTGCTCGGTGCATGTTTGTGCGCTATGGCCAAGCGGCTTGGACGAACGAAGTCAATTTTGAGCAAGTGGAGATGGATCAAAACATTGATGATTTATGGTCAATGGATGATATAAATATATGTTTATTATATTGTATTTATATATATACAGACATGGTTGATGGATGATATAATGATGTGTATATATATATATGTGGTCAATGGATGATTATGTATGATTATCATTGATTAACATTCAATGTCATTGATCAAAACCATGTAACTTGTAACATTCAAAGCTATGATTCCATATGGGCCATGCCAAGTTACATTGGATTACTCATCGATTATTGAGAATCCGCACATAGTGGGTATAGTATCGAAGTCCATTGATGACCATCCTACAAACACTGAATAATTTACACGTGTTCAGCGCCATGTTAAAGTTCGCCTCGAATAAATTGGGTCATACCCAATGGCAATTTGTGATGGCAAAGATTATGACAAACAGTGGAATGTTTTTGGGGTCACATTTGAGACAGGTCTATATTTGGGAAGGATGAACATTCATGACGTTTCCGTCGAGTCGGCTTTTTGGTAAAAGTCAAGCCGCTGAGCTTGTTGGGAAACATTCATTACAGATATTATAGAAAAACTTACTCTGTTACATACAGACAGGTTCAAATTCGGCAAGCAATCAAGGCCGGAGCTTGCATTTGAGATGCTGCGGAAATAAGTTCAAGGAAATTTGGCTATCTGGCGATGGAACAAGTATGTCGTGCAAAAGGATTCACAACATTATTCAACTGTAGAATACTGAACTATCCGGGTTAGTCATTTTGACTCGCAGGCATATATTTCTGTTCGGACTATCAGAATATATCATGCATATCATGCATATCTGGACATATCTGAGGTATTCGATGGAATATGGGTTTGTTTTGGAACGGGCGAAACGTACTTTGCGGTCATGTTCATGAAACAAATGGGGCTTCGAACCAAATGTTCAGGGGAAACATGGCAGGATTTGTCCCAACATGTGGTGTTCTGTTTAATCAGCATTCTCTCCATGGAAAACGGCCATTTGGTAGGGATGCTCCATTTCCAGATGCAACCAACTTAATGAATATTGTTGGCATACATATGTCTATGTATATGTAGGCGCGCGATTGCAATTTCACCCCCGCGAATCATGATCCATGCATGAAAACACTGTGTTTTCCCATACGAAATGTCTTTCTCGAAACATACAATCTTGGATTTTTTTCTTGTTTTTTTCTTTGGAATCAAACTTCCCAATAGAGTTCCTTTGAATCACCCTATCAACGAAGCAGCAACGAAGACACTTACTTTCTCAGTCATCTTGTTCGAGCTTCCATCTGAGCACTGTGCCTGCAGCCCCGAATTTATCGGCTTCGCCGAACCAATGTCTCCATTGAGATTCATGCACACGCATAGCTATCTGCTCATCATCCCCTGCACCGACTCCTTGGCAATTTTGCTTCGCCTGAGACCACCAACTGGCATGTCTTCGTCCGACGCCACTGCAATTTCTTCAACAAGCAGCTCTTCATCTGAAGACACCAGCACCAGACCATCATCTCCCATGATGTCACGATGGAAAACAAGACGCAATCACGCAATCCCATGTTCAGCGTCCACGGCAGCCACGCCCGAACAAGGCGGATCCACTTCTAAGGCGTCCACTGACCGCCAGAACTCAGCACACAGCCTGCACTGATGCTCGCTGAAGCCAAACGGTCTTGCAAGCGCAATCACCTCCGACCACGGCAGCCACGCACCCATTGGCGCCATGCTCCGCACACCGTAAAAGAAACGATCAAAATGATCCTGAGTGACATCGCAGACATGAGTCATGTCCGGAGAAAAAAATCTGGGCCAAAAGGGCCTGCCATGATGATTAAGACATCCATGAGCTTCTGCCGCTGGCAAGGGGCAAGCAAATCCATGACCCGTCGGAGTTCGAAAGTATCGGTCTCCAACACCATGTCAAGTGCTGATTTCAGATGATGGAAAGCAGACATGATCATGCCAACATGAACAAGGGGGGTGGTTTGACGATCGGGTACCTATATGTAGCTACATATGGTAACCCCGCACCCTCCAAAACTCCCTACTCCAAGTAGCTATCCATTTTTATCATGACGTATCTGAATGTTGTGTTGATCATTATGGACCATGTTTTAGAGCTTCAGTTGATCTGGGTAAATTATATATACATATATATATACATTATACTTTAATGGATATATGAAATGGATATATATATATATATACATGTATATGTTAAAAAAACACTTTACTTCGAGTGATCCCCACCATGACATTTATCAATTTAATACTGACAAATCTTCTGGCATTCCACCCACATAGATACCAGCCACTCCCTTCTAACACTCTTTTTGTCTGTGACGTTGCTAGCCGGTCTGCCGCTTCACTCCCGAATGCCACCTGGCGTTTTCGCTTGTGCCAATCTATGTGGCATATCTTCTGGCATTCGATCTGGCATATCTTCTGGCATTCTATCTGGCATATCTTCTAACACTCTATCTGGCATATCTTCTGGCATTCTATCTGGCCGTTGAGGTCCAGCGGTGCACACTGAGCTGGGAAGGTCCCAGGTTGAGGTCCAGCGGTGCACACTGAGCTGGGAAGGTCCCAGGTTGAGGTCCAGCGGTGCACACTGAGCTGGGAAGCTCCCAGGTTGAGGTCCAGCGGTGCGCACTGAGCTGGGAAGTTGGCGAAGAGCTTGGCAAAGAGTTGGCAAGGCGGAAGTTGAGGTGGAAGTTGATGCAGACATGGTCGAGGAGAAACTGGAGGAGGAGGCGGGGAGGAGGAGAGGCGAGGAGGAGGAGGAGGAGGAGGATGGCGAGGAAGAGGAGGACAACAACTCTGATAAAATCTAACAACCCTCACCTGGCAGGTGGGGAAAAAAAACTTCAGATGAACCACTTTTTATTAGATATGGTGCACTATCTTTATGGTGGACATGTTATATTGATTACATGCTCTCTCTCTCTCTCTATATATGTATACACACTACTATCCAGCGATACATTGGATACATAGAATATACCTTCATCATTGATAATTGTTCCACCACCAGCCTCCGAGGCCCTGTTTCTTTGAGGTTGCCGGTGCACCCACACCTCGCTTGGGACTTGGCTTGGCTGCCCTTGGGCGTCCAGGACGGACCCATGCCGGTATAATGGGGGAAGGGGCGTTATCTAGAATGGAACGCTCCACCTCAAAACTTAGATGATCGTTATTGAAAATGATTGGGATCCCCCAATTACTGTAGGCTTTGGTTCACTAGGCGAACTGTTGGATTAATGGTGAGTAATGGTGGAAATATGTGAAAGTATCGAACTGTTGAACGATGAACGATGGGGTCACCGAAACCAACAAATCTCGGGGTGAGGTCCTTCCTGCAACTCACAGTCATCAAAGGAATGGACCCTAAGTAGGACCCGTGAGGCTGCCATTTTGCTTGTGAAGCTGCCCATTTTCATCGATGTTTTGTCGCTGCAGTTTAACTCCCTAATTTCCTGTTTCAGTTCAAAATCCCAGTCTTCGGTCGATGGCTTACTACTAAACATCTTCACGTCCTATCCCCGTTTCAATTATATTTGGAAGAGGGGTGGTGACAGGATTAGGACACCTGGATTTGCCATAAAGATTATACAAAAATTCCCGTTTTGGGCAAGTGCTTCTGGTTCCCCTTGAAACACTGTTTCTCCGATGCAGTTCGGCGGGCCCCAGATTCTGACATTCCTCTGGCGGTCATACATGGCAACGGAAAAGTAGCATGCTTATATATTGTGTTCAATACCTGGTACACTCCCGGAAACAAACGTAGACCCCGAAACTGAGAAACGAGAAACCGGGGTCTACGTTTATTTGTAAAAAACGACTTTTGCAAGAGCAAAAAACAAACCACTTCCGCTCACTAAGATAGACCTTGGAACATCGAACTAAAAGGCAGGGTGAATTTGCCCTGACATTGACCTTGGAAGCAGAGTTTATGTATTCAGGTAAATTGTACACTTGCGAAACACTTACAAAGGCTCTTCTGAGTCATTTTTTGGGCCAACAAAGGGGGTACCCCAGAATGATTTCATTTTTGTGCCCCCTTCCAAGGTTTTCCCCAGGTCCAATATTCTTGCAAGACTTTAAAGATGTTAACGGCCCCTAACATGGACCCTCCAGCCTCCAACCCTCAAAACACAGGTCTTGTGTTCCTTAACCAAGAAAGTAGAAACTAACGATGCACAAACAACAAGAAGGCCTCCCATGGTTCACCTAGACCCTGATGATTAGGGGGTGGTGTATCTTTGGCCCAATTATGGAAGCGGTTTCCAAACATTCTACACAAGTCCCCAAAGCAGATCATACCCAAGTTTGGTTAGAGTGGTTCCCTATGGTTCTATGGTTTACCTAGACCCGGGTGCTAGATGCATGGTCTATCTTCAACGACAACAAAGGATGGTACCATCCAAGTCCCCCTTGGAGATTTCAAACCAAAATATCATTGTTTCTTTTAACAAGTCTCTATTCAAAAAGGCTCTTCTGAGTCATTTTTTGGGCCAACAAAGGGGGTACCGCAGAATGATTTCATTTTTGTGCCCCCTTCCAAGGTTTTCCCCAGGTCCAATATTCTTGCAAGACTTTAAAGATGTTAACGGCCCCTAACATGGACCCTCCAGCCTCCAACCCTCAAAACACAGGTCTTGTGTTCCTTAACCAAGAAAGTAGAAACTAACGATGCACAAACAACAAGAAGGCCTCCCATGGTTCACCTAGACCCTGATGATTAGGGGGTGGTGTATCTTTGGCCCAATTATGGAAGCGGTTTCCAAACATTCTACACAAGTCCCCAAAGCAGATCATACCCAAGTTTGGTTAGAGTGGTTCCCTATGGTTCTATGGTTTACCTAGACCCGGGTGCTAGATGCATGGTCTATCTTCAACGACAACAAAGGATGGTACCATCCAAGTCCCCCTTGGAGATTTCAAACCAAAATATCATTGTTTCTTTTAACAAGTCTCTATTCAAAAAGGCTCTTCTGAGTCATTTTTTGGGCCAACAAAGGGGGTACCGCAGAATGATTTCATTTTTGTGCCCCCTTCCAAGGTTTTCCCCAGGCCCAATATTCTTGCAAGACTTTAAAGATGTTAACGGCACCTAACATGGACCCTGAAACCCTCAAAACACAGATCTTGTGTTCCTTAACCAGAAAAAGTAGAAACTAACGATGCACAAACAACAAGAAGGCCTCCCATGGTTCACCTGGACCCTGATGGTTAGGGGGTGGTGTATCTTTGGCCCAGTTGTGGAAGCGGTTTCCACACATTCTACACAAGTCCCCAAAGCAGATCATACCAATGTTTGATTAGAGTGGTTCCCTATGGTTTTATGGTTTACCTAGACCCGGGTGCTAGATGCATGGTCTATCTTCAACCACAACAAAGAATGGTACCATCCAAGTCCCCCTTGCAGATTTCAAACCAACATGTAATTTTTTCTTTTCACAAGTCTCTATTCAAAAAGGCTCTTCTGAGTCATTTTTTGGGCCGACAAAGGGGGTACCCCAGAATGATTTCATTTTTGTGTCCTTTCCAAGGTTTTCCCCAGGTCCAATATTCTTGCAAGACTTTAAAGATGTTAACGGCACCTAACATAGACCCTCAAACCCTCAAAACACAGATCTTGTGCTCCTTAACTCCTTAACCAAAAAAAAAGGTAGAAACTAACGATGCACAAACAACAAGAAGGCCTCCCATGGTTCACCTAGACCATGGTTAGAACTATGTTTTGCTCGTTTCTCGTTTTGTCCATTGTATCCCCAGGGTCTATGTGTTTCCCATAGTTGGACTTTCAGGAAGCCATTCTGAAAGATATATCCCAACAAAAAGAATATAGACTCCGACATGCTGTTTTGGCAAGATGGATCATTTCTTGGACTAGAAACTCAAATAGATCCTTATACCATGTCAGGGTATATGTTAGCCCTACTTGCAATGCTACTGCAGGAATTGAGAAAAAAACATGTTAGTGGGGTCGGCGGAAAGTAAAACAAAAACACAATTTGTGGGGTCTATGTTATTCTGCCAGTTGGCTATTGTTGTCCATTGTATCCCCAGGGTCTATGTTATCCCCATTGTTGAGTTTTGCAGGCACCCAAACCTCTATTACAAGAAACCATAGACCCTGATACCAGTCCAGGGTCTGTGTTATCCCTACTTGCAATGCTACTGCACAGGTATTATCAAAGGAAGTTGGGAAGCAATACTTCCGTGTTACGGACAAATAGAATTCTGAGACTTGAAATGATGAAGGGTGGTGCGCGATTGAGACTTGACCTTGATGAAGGGTGGTGTGAGACTTTACATGACATACAAATACATCACAAAGGGCTTGACCTTGATGAAGGGTGGTGTGAGACTTTACACTACATAACAATACATCAGAAAAGAATTGACCTTGATGAAGGGTAATGTGAGACTTTACATTACATAAACAATACATCAGACAAGAACTGACTTTGATGAAGGGTGGTGTGAGACTTTACACTACATAACAATACATCAGAAATGAATTGACCTTGATGAAGGGTGGTGTGAGACTTTACATTACATACAATCATCAAAAGAATTGACTTGATGAAGGTGTGTGAGACTTTACATTACATAATCAAGACTCACACAGGGATTGGTGACGAAGGGAATGTGACAAGGGAAGTGGGTGACGCAGGGAAAGCGGTTGACGAATGGAAGGGTTACGTGAATGACATTGGTGGGATGAGTGTTGACAAGGGAAGTGGTGAGGAGGGAAATAGTGGTGATAATTTCAGTGGTGACGAAGGGAAGTGGTTACGCCGGGCAAATTGGTGAAGAAGGGAAGTGAGATGAAGTGAATGTGTTGATGAAGGGAGTTATGATTAATGGGAGTGGTGGAGGAAGGGAAGTGGTGCGAAGGGAAGTGGTTAGGAAGGGAAGTGGTGAAGGCATGGAGGTGGTGAGGAAGGATGTGTTGAGAAGGGAATGGTGCAGAAGGAAGTGGTGACTACGGGAAGTTTTGAAGAAGGGAAGTGAATGATGAAGGGATGGGTTATGAAGTTCAAGTGGTGAAGGAAGGGAAGTGATTATGAGGGGAGGGGTGACGAAGGAAGTGTGAAAACGGTGGCTTGAAGCTGCTTTTGGTGTGGTTTGGTGCCTGTGCGTAGTCTAGGGTGTTTTTTGGAACCTGTGCTTGCAGTTCGAATTGGAAATGGCTGCATTATGTTTCAAAGGCTCTGTTTGGGGAGGAAGCCGGAGCACGAACCTTGTATTTTTCCGTGTCAAGTGGCTGCATTCGACTATGAAAGGTACCCGCTGGTCTGTGCGACGGTGGCGGCTGCTGTCGTTCCGGACGGCGATTGGGTCCTCCTATGGTTTTGCAAGAATGCTTGTTCCTGTTGTGCGGTAGTTCTATTCGTTTCTTTAAGCTGTGGTTTGCAGATCGCATTGGAATGGCTGCATGATGTTGCAAGGGCTCTGTTTTGGGGAGGAAGCCGGAGCACGAAACCTTGTGTTTTTCCGTGTAAAGTGGCTGCAGGCGACGATGAAAGGTACCTCGTCTGTGCGGCGGGTGCGGCTGCGGTCGTTCCGGACGCGATTGGTTCCTCCTATGGGTTTTGCAAGAATGCTTGTTCCTGTGTGCGTAGTTCTATGCGTTTCTTGAAGCTGTGGTTGCAGATCGCATTGGAATGGCTGCATGAATGTTGCATCGGCTATGTTGTGGGGAGGAAGCCAGAGCGCGAAACCTTGCATTTTTCCGTGTAAAGTGTCTGCAGACGACGATGAAAGGTACCTCGTCTGTGCGGCGGGTGCGGCTGCGGTCGTTCCGGACGCGATTGGTTCCTCCTATGGGTTTTGCAAGAATGCTTGTTCCTGTGTGCGTAGTTCTATGCGTTTCTTGAAGCTGTGGTTGCAGATCGCATTGGAATGGCTGCATGAATGTTGCATGGGCTATGTTGTGGGGAGGAAGCCGGAGCACGAAACCTTGTGTTTTTCCGTGTAAAGTGGCTGGAGGCGACGATGAAAGGTACCTCGTCTGTGCGGCGGTTGCGGCTGCGGTCGTTCCGGACGCGATTGGTTCCTCCTATGTGTTTTGCAAGAATGCTTGTTCATGTGTGCGTAGTTCTAT